CACAAACTAAGCCCTGTATTTTCATCCTGCTGTATATTGAGAAGAATTGACACACACAAAATAAGGAACTTGAAGGAAAAAAGTCAGCCCCAGGTAGATGGAGTAGGTGGCCTTCCTCAGAGTGTGTTTTCAGGAAGTTTGGAAAAGATGCCCCCCCATCTTCACAAAGATCTGACATTCTACAATGGGACTTTTTCGGTTTTGTTATGCTTTTAAAAATTCTTCTATAAATGTTCAGAATATTAAAATGCCCTAACAACTGTTAATAATGGTGACCAATGAGGTTTTTTAAATTCTTTAATTAGAGATTTAATGTGAAATGTAAGGTGACCTAAATTCCCACTAAGGTATAAGGTACTATCAATGTTAATGACACTATAGGTAGGTAACTGTGCTAGGTCCTGGTATCAGATCCTTGCTTGAAATGCTCTGATGACAGGGGGAGAGAGAACTCAAAGCTGCTGCTACAGTGGGGAGGACAGAATGATGTAAAGACCCCCAGAAGGGACGCTTACACGTGCCCAAAGACATGTTGTCTCCACTTAGTTGCTGAGACTAGCCCTGTGGCCCAAGAACCAACACCTGCATGGAGTTTGCTAATGTCCATCCAGTGTTCTGTCTACTATGTGCCTTTGGAGCTGATGACATCTCCATCTCCCAAGTGGGATTAATACCTTACGGGGTTGGTAGATGGCATTTTGCACGCACTTAGCAGAAGAGGTAATATCTCTTAAGAGTTTCTGCAGTTTTCAAGCTGTAATTGTGCTTCTGCTTAAGAAAAGCTAGGTTGGATGCCTTAAGCTAATAATAGTTTGGCCTCATTCTTGCCTCATTCCTTTGCTATGAAGGCTTTTTATGTAGCTTTTCTGTTTATTTGTGTATAGTGTCTCTCCCTCCCCATTTCTTGTAATGCTGTTGCTTTCTCTTCCATTCAATTTTTTTTTTTTCCTTTCTTTTTGCTGCATGGAGACTCTCTGCTGTACAAGTGTAAGTATTTTTTGGTGGCTCTGCAGATTCTGGCTGTACTAGTTTACATTCTTGTGCTCCATTTGCTTCCGTGCTGCCTGGCTGATCTCCCAGGAGACTGTAGTGTCGTCATCCATCTTGGATCCTGAATAAAATAGGCAGCAATTTAGAGACAAGATTGAACTTTACAAGATGGTTCAGCTTAGCAAAACAGGTGATGAATTTAAAATATTTCCAGCCATGTGCCTGAAAGCAAGCAAAGTGTTGATGAAGAGGGTATAAACATTCAAGAGGAGAAAAGTGCTTCTTCCATTCATGTTTAATAAACAAGACATGATTACTTAAACTTCCAAGGTTTTAAATTTCTGATTCTTGTCATATTGTTTCCCAGAGTTGTAGAAAACTGGCATCATAATACCTTCTTGTATTAGAAGATTTTTACTAATCTGCTTTCCAACTGTTTTTTTTTTTTTTTTTTCTTTAACCTCAAGGAAAAGAAAAGTAATTAAGGATTCTTGAGCTTTGGAGTGAGGGTGTTTTTATTATTCTTTGCGCAAACTTGGTAAAATGAATGAGGAAACTACTCCATCCTATTTTTCTGGTGATAGAAACAATTTAACTCTCATTAAAAAAAAAATTAGTATGTCTAGCAATTGTGTGTTACAAATGAGTTTAACAGGAAAAATATGTTGTGTAGTTTATAAGGTTCTAACATTAGTCCTTAACTTATGGTAAAAGTGGATATGTATCACTATTGAGCTACATGGAGAATAGTTATAAATCCATTATAAAAATTGGATCAAACGAGTAAGATTTCCAAGCAATGTAGACATTGTGCTGCTTTTGGATGCTTAGAGAATAGACCCATGCATTTCATTCACTGTCTGCCACGATGGGGATTTACTGATGTTTGTGATATCAGAATAAGTCTATGTTTAGAGTTTTCCTTCTAAAGTTATATTTTAAAGGGTTTAACACATTGTTCCTCATATTTCCTGAGGATGTGAATATTGAAAATTACTTACTTCTCATAAAATGCACTTTTAAAGACAAAGTAACTTTGTCTAGGCCTGAAGTAATAGTTGGCAATGTTAATCATACATCGATTTGTGAAGGGTCCCTTTGGCGTGTGTACCACTTCTGCTTCCATTGCTGACCCCCTTCATCTGTTGGGCACTTTGTGATTTCTCTGATCAGAAAATACTTAGGCATTGACAAATGTCCAGGAAGAGTAAACAAGGACTAAGACATAGTGTGAGAAAATTAACCCTTTCATTTTGGTTCAAAAAGGGAAGAGAGTAAATGTAAATCTGGATGGTAAAGCCAGATTTTTTTTTTTCCAGGATTCAATTCATCTAACCAACAGGTGTGAGAAGGGGGAAGAGAGTGCATAGACACCATCTTTCTAGAGAAACATACAGTATGTGTTCCTAAATGTACACATAGGTGGATAATCGTATCATTCTTACATTTCCTCTTGCTTTAGATTTATATGTAATCAAATCATAGGAATGAGCCAATAAGATTGAGCAAGTCCACACTGTCTGTAAAACTGTTAGGGAAGAAACAATTGTAAAGAAAAGAAAGAAAACTGTGAAGAAATAAAATTCACTTTTTTTCTCCATTGTTATACTTAAATCCATATTTATTCTTTCTCATGAAAGAAAGAGATTGTAAAACAGTTCATCCATCGAAAGAAATGTATAAAATCAGGTTGCGTTCTTAGCACCAGTTGTAGAAACCAGCCTGATTGCAAGCTCTGACCATTTTAGCAAAAGGCCGTTGGCCCTGTCCAAACATGGCAAAACTTCAGAATTCACAGATATGTCAGACACAGAGAGAGAGTTTTATGCAGAATGCAACTGGAAGGTATATGCTCATGTAAAGAGCATATGAAATGAAAGAAAGCGATGAAAATGCATTAGAATGCATCTTTCTGATATTCAAATTTTGTGTACTAGGTTTTGAGGCATTAGAAAGCGAGACCAAGAAAGGCAAACTGGTTTCCCTTTGATTACTGTCGGCCATCAAAAATCCTGATGATTTTGTATGTTTCTCAATGTGTCTATAAAATTAGATTGAGCAGAATGATCCATTTACAGTGGGGCATCAGTTTGTAAATGAGTTTCTGTCTGTTTTTTATATATGTTATATATATTCTCTTATATGTAATTCTATATGTATTTTTATATATTATAATATAGTTGAAATGTCATTATTGTCATATGTTTTAACATGTATTTGGTATTCATTATAAAGGCTAAATAGGGAAACTTGGCCCAGATTATTTTTGCCCACAAACACTTTTTCTTATAAAATCTAATCAGGAGTGACAGGAAAGAATTTTGGAAGACATCTTCATTCTATGCATTTTTAAACTTCTTTCCTATTTATCTGTGACTATCTAAGTGAATTAGCTGGAAATTATATCCCAAGCTACTTCTTAATCCTTTTACCTATCAAGGTTGTGCACAAGGTGGATACAATACTGAAGGAGTTTTTATGACCAAACACAGCATATATTTTGATAGTTTGTGTCTCCTTGAAAATTATTTTTAGAGGTTTCACTTATGAATAGACCAGTCATACCACCTTCAACCAACTGTAAGGCCTGTTTTGGGGAGAACTATCTTGAAACTTGATTCATTTCCAGTTGCATTGGATTGGTTGTATTTTTATTGAACCTGCAAAGCCCGATGCTTTATAAAAAGATTTTCCTCTGATTGTCTGCCTTTAAAAAACCTTGAAAGAACCAAATCAGCAAGTTTCATTATGTTCAGGAAGACCAGTCTGGATTTAAATTCTATTGCTCACCATTTTTAATCTCCTTTTTCTCTCAATAATAAACAATAGCAAAAGGATATTATTGTTAAAAATGACATAAGATTGTCAAAACTGTAAAGCTGTTTGCTTTAAAGGTCAATATGAAACAATTTATTCTTTGAACCTTGTTATCAACCTGTGGATTTTTCTTTTTTGAGAAAGCTTTAGATGACAACCTATTAAGTGAAATGAAAGTCTACAAACTAAGTTCTTTCAGTTACGTTATATCTTAGTTTACATGAGTACCAGTTTCCAGTATCAAAGCAGTTAACACCCCTAAAATCCATCCGTTCATTGATCACAAGTGGTGAGGCAGGAGGGATGCTGGGCTGACCTTAATAACTGGCTCCATCCCTGGCCCTGCTCCTCTTGACTTGAGTGGTAGTCCTTATCATCTCCGTGACTCAGTTTCTTCCTTGCAATTTGTGGAGGTGATGACAAAGGTCCCCTCCAGCTTTGACACGAGTTATCATGTTGAGGGAGAAGCTAATGTCTTCCTTAACGTTTGACTTAACATAATCAACGGTTGACACCAATGCTAGAAAAATGCTCTAAGAAGTTTTGGCCATGGTTTGGGTTTTGGTCTCCTTTTTTAAAAGGAAAAGAAGGATTAAAGATGTCTTACTGAGAAGGGACAGCAGATAGACTTCTAAATCATGGCAACTTTTTTCTTTGGTCTTTGGTCTATGGTCTTTGCTCACAATGTAAAGATCAAAATTTTTGTGGCAGAAATGTGAAACAAAACAGTTAAACTGCTTAAATCATTAAGATGATAAAGAGTTTGGTGTTGCTTATATTGATGTTGCTGTGATAATGAACAGTGAGTAATTGTGTTTTCAATTTTTAGCGACTGGTTTTTACAGTCTTTCATTCTTATTCCTTATATCTGTTTTAACATCTTCGTGTGCAGGTTAGAGTTAAATCCTATATCGTTCATTGTTCCTTTTAGCTATAAAAATAGAATTTAACTGAATAGGGCTAGGGGAAAGAAGTTGGCTATGTCATTTGAGAAAGTGGTAAACGTTTAGAAATGTCTTGGCTTAGCCCCTTCAGTCTGGCTGTCAGATGTTACTAACCATCCTCTGAAAAAGTAAATACTGAGCGTAAAACAATTGATCCCAAATATTAGCCCCCCCGACAGTGTTTCTAAACTTTGAAAGTTAAGTTTTCTGGGAATACCTGTCTAAGTACTTTCTTTATTTTATTGCTAGATGACTCCTAAATCCAAAAGGAAGACTATCCATAGCCGAATGCTGCGGCCTGTTTCCAGGGCATTTGGTAAGTGAGTCTTTTGCTAATGCCAGTCATTTCCTTATAACTGTGAAACACCCCTCAGCAAGAACCTCGGACCACTTCAAGGATATTTCTTAGGGATGCTCTAAGTGAGTAAATATTGAGAAAGAGAATTAAGTGATTTGTGAATGAGTGTTTGCTATTCAGTGATAGACTTAAAATTACTTTTAAGAACTTTTTTATCCATCTCTATGCAGTAAGCTTCAACCTGGGGCTTTGCTTTATTTTAGAAATGGAATTTGACCTTGATAAAGCCCTGGAAGAAGTGCCAATTCACATTGAAGACCCGCCTTTCCCATCCATCAGACAAGAGAAGCAGAGCTCAGGGTTTATCTCTGACTTGCCGTCCGAGGAAGGAAAGAAGCTGGAGCACTTTACCAAGTTAAGACCAAAACGGACTAAGAAGCAGCAATCCACGCACGCAGCGGTAGGTGGGCTGGAGGGGCCCCATCTCTCCCTCGCCCTGTCCTCCTCCAGGGAAACCTGGAGAGTCTTATAAAAGCGTGTTGCATACCTGAAAGCTTGTAGTTAAGGAGAATAGAACCTCTACGTGTGATATTCACATAAAATGTCTCATTTGGTGCTCAACAATTTTGGAAAAGACAACACTGTAAGGTTTTCAACTCTTTAGAACAGAGTTGCCCCTTGGAAGTTGTTAGAAAAATACCAGTCACATGGGTGAGATAAAAAGGCTACATCTATAGGATTTTATAGTGTCCGGGTGTGAAAAGATGGAGAGTAAGTATCAAAGAATTGATTTGTGATTAAAAATTGTTTGCATTTGATTTTGGACTGCACCCATATACTCCCCCACCTCCGTGTCCTGACCTGCTCTGGTGCCCTGGCTTTTGATAACCCACAAGCTGAGTGGTGGAGGAGAGGCTGTACCTGGGAGAACCATGCAGGCGGCATGCTTCTCAGCATCCTGCTCTCTACTCAGGAGAGGACTGAATTGTTTGCGCTAAGGAGCCTTAATGCGATTGACCCCATGTCTCTCTTTGGTTAGTGTCTTTTCTCTCCTTTGCAGTCAGACTTCTTGAAAGAGTTTGTCTTTGCCTGTGGTCTTTCTCCCTCACCTTCCTGTCACTCTGCAACCCACCAAAATCTTCATTCTGTACCTACCCACCTCTGAAACTACCCTGCCAAGGTCACTCCTAACCTAATCCTGTGGACACTTGTCAGCTGTCAGCCTACTTGACATCTCAGCAGTTACTTGACCCAGAAAGCTCCATCCTTCTGTGGGCCCCTGAGTCATCACTCTCTTTTCTTTCCTATTCACCTCTCCAGCGATGCCTTTTCAGTTTTCCTCTGCCTGGCCTTTGAGTGTATTATTTGTCTCGGTGATGTCATCTAAACCCATGGTTTCAGTTTGTTGTTGACTCCTGCCTCCTCTGCTGAACTCCATATTCAGATATTCACCTGCCTCCTGAACTTTAAAGCCCCGGAGCACCTCAGGTTCAACAAATTCAAAACTGGGAGCCTATCTTTCTCTATAAACCTGCCCTGCCCCACAAGGAGCGTCACCAGTCAACAAGCTAGAAACCTGGATATGATCCCCAACACCAGCCCCCACTGCCGTCCCTGTTTGCTCTTCACCTTCTTCCTTTCTCATCATCCCTGCATCCCTCACTCTCAACCTGTTTCAGGCCTCCAGTGATGCAGCCTTTCTGTCATTGCTTCCTCTCTCTCCCCCCCCGCCCCCACCCCTCCATCCCCCTACCCTTAGCTCCTAGGTGGATAACTACTCATTTTGCAGACCTCCACTGAGGCAAGACTTCTCCCAGGAAGCCCTCCCTGTCTCTACCTCTGTTCTCCCACATGGCTGGGGGTGCACGGCTCCAGGGAAGGTTGTTCTCCCACACTAGTTGTGCACAGTGCACAGCCTGAGCAACCTTCCATGGAGGCCCTGCTCCCCCAGTGCCTGGCTTTTACCCTGTTACAGCCCTCGCCGTACAGTGTTTTCTAAGCACGCTTTCCTCCTTGTATATAAGCTCTGTGTAGGAAGGTGTATGGTTTATTATCCATGGTTGTATACTGAGCGCTTAGTATGAATTTATTCAATACAATGTAGCAGGTGTTCGATACTCACTGGATGATAGGTGGATGACTGGAGTCGTAGATGGATAAAAGTCACAACCAGTTACCTGCATGGTCAGTCATTTGCTCATTCCAGATCCAGGTTGGGTGTATTTGGTTGATTTCTCTCATTTGATTCTGAATATCTTGACATGGTTTCAAAAAGACAAAAGAAAAAAATTTTAGTAAATTGTTTTCTTTTCCAACTTACTTGATTTTAACAGGGTTGGCAAACCCCAGGCTGCTCCATCCTATGGACTCTGTAGCATAAGAGTATGTCCTAGGATAATGGATTATGGTCCTGGGTCTAAACAGATCTTCCCAGAGGCTTGGTAGCCTGAGAAACGTGCACAGCTTGTTCTCCCTTGGGTTCACAGTGAAAATATGCTGCCTAATGGTTTCACAGAGCTTGTGATTTTCAAAGTGCTCTCACATTGAACACCTGTGTGAAGCTGCCACACCGGCCCCATTGTCCGCATCTTCCAGTGGAGGGCGAGAAGGCTGCAGTATTTAGTAGCAGCAGTCATTTAATATTATCGTTTTGGTTTTGTTTTGGTGAATTGAGTAGCCTTAGTCCACCCTAAATGGATCTTAGCTTTTCTAGAGCTTGTCCTTGACCCCTAATGCCCCTAATGAGCTTTTCTAGATGTCAGAACTCTCAAAGCCAAGGTATGGAGGCTGTTTTTACTTTCGGCATTTCTAATACCAAATGTGTGGTTTTCTTCCCCCTACACCTGCTAATTCTTCAACTCTGGACAACAACTGGGTGTCCCACAATTCAATTCAATTCTGACCCCTCAGGTGAAGGGCTCAGCGGTACCCTCACTTCAGATACCAGTCTCAGGCCGCCTCTTGTACTTCTGACCTATGGACTTCATGGGAGGTTCCCATGCCCCCCTCCTTAGGTTAGATAATTTGCTAGAATGGCTCAGAATACCCAAGAGGACACTTTACTTACTATTACTGGTTTATTATAAAGGATACTGTCAACTGAAATAAAAGCATGCAATGTGAGAGCTGTGAGTTTCAGTTTTATTTGGGGACTTCCTGAGGACTATAGTCTGGGAGACAGCCTCTCCAAAGACTGAGGAACTGTTCAAAGAGGTGAGGGGCAGGTCAGCATATGTGTGATTTTGGAGAACGGGTATGTGCAGTCAAGCACATATCTTGGTAGAAGGTTGCTGCTGGTCATGGGGCACAGATATCTTAATGATTGTAGTGCTTTTCTAAGTATGGGAAGATGCAAGAAATTGGGTCCATGAAATTTTCTCTTGAAAATATTTAACTATCTGAAGGCCTGTTCTGCCAATTTTCCCAGAGCACAGAGGGAACTCCTTTTGGGTGTGTTGAAGGTCAGCGACTGCAGTGGCTAATGGCTTAATTCTTGTAGAGCGACATGGCAAGCGACAATCTTTAGTTGGCAGTTGTTATCCATACTGACCAACTGCCTATAAATCAAAGGTTCCCACAATCCTTCTTGGGTTTGATGTATTTGTTATAGCAGCTCATGGAACCCAGACATTACTTACTGGATTACTAGTTTATAATAAAAGGTTATAACTCAGGAACAGCCAGATGGAGGAGATGCTTAGGGAAAGATATGCGAAAAGGGGCACGGAGCTTCCATGCCCCCTCCCAGCACATCACACTCCCTGCATCTCCGCATGTTCACCAACCCAGAAGCTCTCCGAACCTTGTCCTTTGGGGTTTTTATGGAGACTTCATTACACAGTCATAATTGAGTAAATCACTGGCCATTGGTGACTGATTGAACTTCTGGGCCCTATCAGCTCCCTAAAGTGCAGGGGGTGGGACTGAAAATTCAAACCCTCTAATCACGTGGTTGGGTCTCCTGGCTATCAGCCCCCATTTTTAGGTGGGTTCCAAAGTCACCTCATTAACATAACCAAAACACCTTTATGGCTCTCATTAGTTAGGAAATTCTAAGCGTTTAGGAGCTCTGTGCCAGAAATGGGGATGAAGACCAAATACGTATTTCTTACCGTAAATCACTATATCACAACTATCTCCATAACATAGTCGGGATGCTCTCTCTCCTTTCCTAGTCTCTGGAACAGTTTGCAAGTATTATAGATTTTCTGTTCCTCTCCCGGGAAGCCACCTGGGCCTGATGTGCTGTCTGTGTGCATGTCATGCTGATATGTCGATTTTTTTAAACTAGGGATTTTATTTCTTTTGTTATAGATCTATTGATGAAAAAGATTAATAGTCAATCTAAGAAAGAAATGGAAAATTTTATTTCAGCCAACCTGAGGATTATAACCTGGGAGACAGTTTTTCAGAAAGCTCTGAGGACTAGTCTGCCTGTTAGAGGTCGAAACACAGTCATATACGTTTTTGAGACAAAGGGTTATACGTCATATGGTGTACTGACAGTTTACACAATCCAGACCTGCATGAACAAAGTGAGAAGTGGGTCATCCTGACCCCTTACAAGATTAAAAAGGAAGGTTATCGCCTAAGGAGGTCTGGTTAAGGCAGAATGCACAATACACTCCAAACGGGAGCGGGGGAGGGAGGTCCAAACGGGCAGAGAAAAATTTTATGTTTAAATTTTTCTCATCTTACCATAAAATATGAATTTTATTTCATCAGATCTATTCAGATTACCTAATTCTCCTTGAGACCACTTTGGTAATTTGTTTTTCTAGGATATTGGCCACTTAGTCTAATAGTTCATTTACTTGTTTATAGAATTCTTTTGCATTTTTAATCTCTTCTGTATCAATAGCTGTGTCCCATTTTTCCATTTCTAATATATCTTAATTCCTCTCTCCTAATTTTGCAAGGTCTCGTTTACTAGTCTTTTTCAAAGAATTAGCTTTACTGGTCCTCTCAAGTTCATTAATTTTTGCCTTATTTTTTTAAATTATATTTTGTTTCTTTTACTTCCTCTTGGATTCCTTTTTTCCTGGCTTGATTGCTTGGCTCTTAATTTTCCATGTTTCTTACTGTCTAATGTATGCATGTAAAATTTCAAGATTATTCAACTCACTAATTAGCACTCTTCGGGTTTCTTTTGCTCAGAGTCCCTAATGCACCTAATTGTCCTTCCTTCCTGCCCAGCTCTCTCCCCCGCCCTGCCCGTGGAGACATGAGAGATTTGGCAGCTGCCTTGTCAAAGATCCAGGTGCACCCCCTACAGTGCTGCCCTGGTGCATTCATCTTAATAATCCAGGAAGAGGAGAACGGAGGGTGGTCTGATTGTCTTTAGTCGTCATAATCACTGGCTTATCTTCTAAGCATTCACAAATTATCCTATTAGCATTTACTTATACACCAGAGGTGTGAAATCTGCCTTCTTTATTTCTCAGATACCAACAACAGCAATTTCTGATTTTATTTGCAAAAGCCTGCCTGTGAGCACAGGTGCAGTTGGTTCCAACTAGCTCAGGGCTAAGCTTTCTGCTCTCCCTTTCCAATAGCTCCGCTCCCCTTTTTAGTCTGAAATTTATTCTCCTTGACATTAAAGACCAAAATCAAATGGAATTTTGAGAACTTCCGATGTCTGTATGTCCTTTCCTTTCGTTTTGCTGGATATTGACCTGAAACAGCATGTGTGTTTGTCTTTGAACTCTGACAAACCGCATGTCATTTTAGTCTTCCGCTTCTCTGCTGCTTTTCTTACAGGGTGCTGACACCTCTTGCTTTTAAGCTGCATCTCGCTCAAGGTCTCCCAGTGATCCTGGACTTCTCTTAATCTCTCTACTCCCAGTCTCTTTATCTCTAAAATGACAGGGTTGGGCCCGGGGTGGTGGGTGGGGTCTCTAAGGTCCTGTCCAGCCCTAAAAACTGGCCTGTCCTACAGGACAGGAAACCAGATTGCTTTGTTGAGCCCTGTGTGCCTCCATCTCTGAAATCCATTGATTGTTCTTCATGTCCCCAGAGACCTTTTATGCTAGCTGTGAATTGTTTCAAAGCAGGCAAAAAAGAAAAGGGCTGAAAGGAGAAATTATACTAGTAAAACTTTTTTTTCCCCCCTCAAAACGGGAAGAGGAATTTGAGAGGCAGCCTCTGAGGGCAAGCGAGGGTGCCCTGGAAGGAAGCCCCATGTTAGGACCACATGTCCTGGGGTCACATCCTTCTCATCCATCAGTCAGGTGACCTGTGTGGGCACCCCTCACCCTCTGAGCCAAGGTTTGATCTACTAACCAAAACCTAGGATAACGCTATCTTTCCTTTGCAGTTCAAGGGGTAGGTGTGAAGATGAAATAGTAAACTATCGAGCACTGTACAAACTTAGGGAGCTATTATTACTGTAGAGATTCCATTCTTTTACAAAAGGAAAAATGACAATCCAAGCAAGTTCTGTGCTACTTTGTCTTTTTTTTTTTTTAACATCTTTATTGGGGTATAATTGCTTTACAGTGGTGTGTTTGTTTTCTGCTTTATAACAAAGTGAATCAGTTATACATATACATATGTTCCCATATCTCTTCCCTCTTGCGTCTCCCTCCCCCCCTCCCTATCCCACCCCTCTAGGTGGTCACAAAGCACCGAGCTGATATCCCTGTGCTCTGCGGCTGCTTCCCACTAGCTATCTACCTTACGTTTGGTAGTGTATATATGTCCATGCCTTTCTCTCTCGCTTTGTCACAGCTCACCCTTCCCCCTACTTTGTCTTTTGTAATTTAAACAGTAGTTGTTCAGTGAGCTGCTTTCTCTCCATAACTGAATTCTCAAACTTGGCTGATTCTCTGCTCTCTTGCAATTCACAAGAAAGCCTTGCTCCACTATAAAGCGCCATTCAGATGAGAGGTCTCATTGTTTTCATTATTCACATTTCACAGGGTTCTTGGTCTATTACCTATTGTCTGCTCACTTTTCAGCATTTCACAAATGTGAACTCAAACACACAGCTCATTTTTATAACGGACGTTGCCAGTGAATGATTGTTGAAAGCAAATGATGGGTCTTTTCTTTAAACAGTGCCTGTGCAGACAAGAGCCAGGTTCCCCCAGAGGCAACTTGAGACTTGCAAATCAAGATTACAGGGAGGAACTTTCCCACCGCTCTATGGCAAGACAACCTGCTCAGATATCGCAACCACATGGGAACTTGTCCTCTGCCCAACAGAATGGGCAAGATACATGTCCTTTCTCAATGGCCCACAACCTATCTGTGTGAAATATTAATACACTACTGCAGACACAAACCAAGCATGTTACTGAGTTCACTATGAGTTGTCCATTCAAAGAGAAATGCTAGATTGATGAATAATTTCCATATACCTTCTCACCAGCTTCTGTCCTGAGACTCAAGCTTCCGACACCTGCCCCTGGATTTTCACAGCACCTCAGACAACACTGCCTGAAATTGGACTCATCGTCTTGTTCCCAAAGTTGAATCTTTGAACTGTGTTCCCTAGAATGATGCTCCCATTCGCCCAGGCTGGAAACTTCAACCTCATCTTGGGCAACGTCTTTCTTTCTCTTCTCATTTCACTAGTACTTAGTCCCTCATCTCCTCCAGATTAGACCAAACAATCACAGAAGTCTCTTGTTTGTGTTCCTGAACAGATTTCCCTAGTTATAATCCCTGGCTTCTCCAGTATATCCTTCATGCTGCCCCAGAATCATCTGACCAAAATACAGGTTGGGCCATGGCATTTCTTTGAGGCTCCCTCTCACCTACAAAGTAAATTCCGCACTTTTTAGCATAGGATTCAAGGTTATTCACTGTCAGGCCTTGCATTATTAGTTGGGAAGTATTCATTCAATTAGAGATAATGAGAGATACTGAACTAAAAATGACGTAAATCATGAGAAATACTTATTTTCTTACTTAACAAGAAATCCACAAGTCTCGGGATCCAGGACTGGCTTATTCACAGCATAAGCACCCAGGTGGTTTCCACTGTTCTGCTCTTTCATCCTCAGCATGGTGGATTTTGTCCTCAGGTTTGCTTCCTCTTGAACTCCAGGTGGCTGCTGCAGCTCAGACATCACATCCTCTCTCCCACAACCATGCAGAAAAAAATGCATCCCTTCCTCTGCAGGAAAACCTGCCCATGAGCCCCCTTGTAACTCACTGGCCAGAACTGTATCACATGCCCATGCCTGCCAGTCACAGACAAGGAGATTAATGTATTTGACTTGTTCGGATAAGTATTCCATCTTGAAATCAGGGTTCTTCCAGCAAGCAAGCAAGAAAGCAGGTGGTGGTGGTGGGGTGTTTGGAGTGGCCATTTTTAGTATCTGCTAGGGTTAATACTCAGCAGTTAACTCTATCCCTAAACCTCAGGCCCCGGCCACTGGAGTTATTACTGTTTTCAAAACTTAGTGTATGTATCATTTTCTCATGCATTCTCTCTTCCCTTACCAATATGCCCACAATGCCTTCCTCTGCTTCAGGAACACATGACTCTTCATAGCCTGCTAGGTTCCAAGCTGCTTCTGAGACAGCAGTCAGACTTGATCCTCCAGCAGGCTTTGTGTTTATAGTGCATTTCTCACTTTTGTTTCTTTCTACCCTTGTTACAGTTGTAATGTGACTTCTATTCCAGTAGAATATAAGGGCCCTATGTCAGTCAGTCTTGTCCTTCCCATGGCCTTTATCACAGTGCCTTGAATCTAGCAATACATGTTTGCCGAATTAAGTTGAATGTAAATTAATATCACACCTGTTTGGTTTGCAGGGCTGTGCTACCAGCCTAGTCTCCCAAGATGGTGAACAGAATGGTCTTATGGGGAGAGTGGATGAAGGTGTAGATGAATTTTTCACCAAGAAGGTGACCAAAATGGATTCCAAGTGAGTTCAGAGTCATTTCCCTAATCATACGATTTAATTCATATTTAAATTACTAACAATTACAAGTAAACTTAGTATGTACTAAGGCTCTTATTTCATGTAAGTATGAAATGTATTTCATGTACATTTCATATAAGCACATTTTGCAGGGGATTTACTGTTCTGGTGGTTTGCAAATGTGATCTTCAGGTCAGCAACAACACTATCAACTGGGAACTTATTAGAAATGCAAATTCTCAAGCCTCTACCCCAGACCTACTGAATCAGAAGCTAGAGGTGGGGCGCAGCAGCCAGTGTTTTAAAAAGCCCTCCAGGGTGTACTGAGGCACGCTCAAGCGGAAGGACCATTGTACTCTTCTAAATCAGACCACAGAATGTACCTCCCCAAGGTATTTTTTTTAGCGCATCATCACATTCACCTGGGTATATCTAGGACAGTGGGCATTGGCAGGCTGAAATTACTTCCAGTGGACCCTTGAACAACGCAGGTTTAAATGGCACGGGTCCACTTGTTTGTGGACTTTTTTCAACAGTAAATACTACAGTACTGCACAGGCTGTGGTTGGTTGATCTGTGGATGTGGACAAACTCGGATACTGAGGACCTACTCTAAGTTATATGTGAATTAACCCCCTCGTTGTTCAGGGGTCAGCTGTATTTAAAAATTCCTCACGTTCATAATTTGATGTATCTGGGGGCCCTGTATCATTGCTAAATGGCACAGCTTTAACAGACAGTGTCAGAATGACAACAGAATTAGTGAAGAGCCTTCAGAGTTAGCCTCTAAAAAGTTTTCTCTGTATTTTCTTATTAACAACGTGGAGTTTCCTTAGAAGACAATTCAGTAGTACTTTTATTAAGAGCTTAACTTGAAACCAGCCTTTAAGCATGACTTGTACCAAGTTACTTAATCCCCAACTATATGCAGATGCATCCCCAAGTACACTCCGAATATGGATTTGTGTCTGTGAAGTATTCTTCACCTTGAGATATCAAATTCAAGAACGAATTTAACCATCCTGATAAGCTGAGGGTGAACAGGCCAGGCACCGGGAAGGAAGAAGCTAGTCCGTTCTATAGATTGACGTGCCTTATCTTGCCTTAGCAGGATGGAGAGGTGGGAATAAGTTAAATTTTTGTCCATACCAGTATAACTTACCTAATGTTATAAGCTTTAGGATCCAATCATTTGTCTTCTTTTGACACTTGAAGCTTGGCATACTAGGGAAAATTCTATTCTCCTCTCCTTCAAGATCCAATGTAAATGTCATTTATTCAAAATAAATGTCATTTATTCTAGTCAGGGGAAAGCCTTGACTATTCCTCCCCCACCTCCCACCCCCCAAATTAATTGCTCTTTCTCTAGTGCTGAGTCACCCCCGCCCCCCCCCCTTTTTTTTTCATCCTCTGCACACATCTGTTAGGGCAACAGAATCCTTCCAGAGTTTGTTTGGTTTTTAATTTTTTTACAGCGTGGGGAATAGATGGACATATTCTCAGCACAAAAGATTCAAGCAATACCAGCATAAACTGAGCCAAACGGGAAAATCCTTCTTGATGACTGGCTTTCAAGTCTTTTCTTCCCAAAGGATGCTGTTCTTCACAAACAATGCCTGGGGCTTATTGTTCATTATAACTTCAGTGTCTGGCACAGCCCGTAATGTATCATCTGCCCTCAGTCACTATTGGTTTAATGAATCAAGACAGTCTTTGGCCTGTATCTGTATAAACAGATAAAATTGTAGGCTCTCCTCTTCCCAAACTTTGGAAATTGAGTTAGTGGAGAGATCTGTGCGCGTTAGATCTAGATCATCTGTGGTGTCACCGCCAGTGTGATGTCCTCTGCCCTTAAAGCTGCCTCTTTCTTTAATAGGCTCTGAATGAAAGTTGGGCAAACTTTATAAGGTGTAAAACCCACTTTCTACAAAGGTACTGCTCTAGGAGGATTCTCTTCATGTCCAAGTGCACACATAGAACTACGTACATCAGTTTTTGTCAAATAATGATGGAATCTACTAAAAGTTGTGATTTGTTTTATTTTGTTATATAAAACCAGATCATTGTCAGTTTGTTACGTAGAGGTCTAGGCGCAGGTCAGACCATCAAGTTGTATGAAGGAAGTTTGAAAGTCAGAGTTGCACACGTGCTCCTCATAGTTTAAAATGTCAGGTGTTCTTCAAGGCTTTTTATTAACAAATAAAGGCGGGGGGGGGCGGTTTCTTTCCCTATTCCCCCGGGCAATTAATTCCTGTTCCTTTAGCCGTTTACTTTTGCCATATTTCTTTTTTGGTGTTGTTGCTATTTCTTATTTTTCAGTTTTAAATAGTAACCGTGGCTTCTTACTATATAGAGGATGATACTTTAGCCCTTACACAGTCTGACCCTTCTGTCCACCAAACGCACGCAGGCAAACTCACACACACACACACACACACACACACACACACTTCCTCTTCCTGCCATCTTATTTAGTTATGTCGTAACTGTTGGTTACATCAGTGTTTAATGTTTACTTCATTATAAGCATGTAAGTATTCACAGCTGAGTTATACAGTATGGTACGATTACATTTCCTTTCCTATAAACTCTTCTTTTAAAATTTTTATTGGGGTGTAGTTGCTCTACAGTGTTGTGTACAGCAGAGTGAATCAGCTATACGTATACATATATCCCCTCCTTTCTGGATTTCCTTCCCATTTAGGTCACCACACAGCACCTGTGCTAGACACAGGTTCTCATTAGTTATCTATTTTGTACATAGTAGTGCATATATGTCAATCCCAGGCTCCCAATTCATCCCCCCCAACCTCCATGGTGTCCATACGTTTGTTCTCTATGTCTGTGTCTCTGTTTCTGCTTTGCAAAAAGGTTCATCTGCTATACAACTTTTTATTCTCCCTGGAGTTAACAATTGTCTCCTTTTGCATTTGCTTAGTTTTCTGTATTCCTCTCTCTGACGTATCTCCTAAGTCTCCAGTAGAGGTATAAATTTCCTCAAGTCTTCTCAGTTTCATCTTCCTGGGCACATCCTTCACTGCTCTCTGATCGCCCCAGGGTGACCTGTAGGCCTCGTCCCCTGCTGTCCTCCTGGGATGTCCCTTCGCTGTCTGCTGGGGGCCTCCCCTCGCTCATTCCTGTGTCTTTCCTGTTTCCTTTGGCCCGGTCGTCGTCTTCCTTATTACTTCACTCTCTGTTTGGTGCAGCACCTCCTCGGTTTGCTTGCTGAGAAAGGAAGCACGGGAAGTGAGTTTCTGAAATGCATATGTCTTGCATTTTGCTAAATAGTGTGACTAGGTATAGAACTCTAGATTGGAATCCATTTTTCTTTAGAATTTTGAAAACCTGGTCCCAGTATCCTCAAGCTTCTAGTTGCTCTAAGAATCCAGTGTCGTTTTGAGTCCTGATCCTTTGTTTGTGGCTTGTTCTTTTTTTCCTCTTCTCAGGAAGTATTTGGGATCTTCTTTCTGCTCCTGGTATATTGACATTTTATGATGATATCCTCTGTGTGGGTTTTTTGATTTTGTTTTGTTGAAACCCATTTGCTAGGCACTAATGAGCCATTTCAATCTGGGAATTTATATTCTTTGGTTCTGGAGTTTTTCGTGAATTATTTCTTCTAAATTTCTTTGCTTTTGGGCTTCCCTGGTGGCACAGTGGTTGAGAGTCCGCCTGCCGATGCAGGGGACAAGGGTTCGTGCCCCAGTCCAGGAAGATCCCACATGCTGCGGAGCGGCTGGGCCCGTGAGCCATGGCCGCTGAGCCTGCGCATCCGGAGCCTGTGCTCTGCAACAGGAGAGGCCACAACAGTGAGAGGCCCACATACCGCAAAAAAAAAAAATATATATATATATATATATATATATATACACATATATATATACATATATATATAAATAAAAATTTCTTTGCTTTTGCTCTATATTCTTTTTCTTAAACTCCCATTATTGTTTCCTCTATTAACCCACTAGTTTTGTTTTTTTTTTAACTGTTTCTCTTCTATTTCTTCATTCTTTTTCTTAGTCTCCCCCCATCAACTTTCTGTGCGATTTCCTCAGTCTTATCTTCCAACCTTGAGTCTTCCACTTATGCTATCACATTTTTCTATTATTCTTGTTTCACGGAGTTTATTAATATGTATACCCCCTGAATACATGGGAGATCCCAAGGGAAACAATAATTCCCTGAAATGGCCCACACTACCACCTTAAATACCATCTTCAGCTAAAGACAGAAGAAAGATGAGGTTGGGGACAGTTTGGGGAGGTTATCCTGAACCAGATAAACAAGGGTAAGGTCGTTATGCAGGTTTAAGTCCCTACCTTCTCCATGATACATTTCTAGGGATTTAGTGATTCTATTTTTCCTGGTACTGAAAGGAATACACCCTTACAAATGGAGATTTTCCTTAGAAATGTAAATTTCTCTTACAGAAGGGTAACTACTCTGTTTTCAGAGCTTCTCCTGTGTCTGCTGTTCCTTAAAAATAATCAGCCTCAAATAATCCTGTACCGAAGAGGCATACTTCGGGGTGGCACATTCTGCTCCCCTTCACCTGAAATCCATTTGCTTCAGGGCCTCCCCTACTAATGCTTTCGAGGTCAGCTTTCCCAGATGAATAAGTTTTCACTCCTAAGTATTGTGGCTTCCGAACTCTTGTTTTTGCCTTTTCTCCCCTCTGGGGCTTATGCCTTTTTTTTTTTTTTTTCAATCCCTTACTGGGATTTTCCCGGGGACTCAAGGAGCTAAACGGGTATTCATCCTTCCAGCTTTAAGTGAAAGGCAGTGATGATACCTCCCACTCAACCCACATCATTTACACTTTCTCCCCATCCATTTCCTGACAAACCTCTACCAAAGCTTACTGTCCGCTTTTTCATGTTGTTGCCTCTTTCAGTGGTATTACATTTTAAGCAGGGATCCGGATCTTGGTTTGAGCACTTAGGGCGGGATTTCAGATGTTATCTAATGACCAGGGAAGGATTTTAGGGGCTTAAGGGGAAATCTGGCCCTTCCAGTGCCCGCCAAATTAAATAAGGCAGTCCATCGTCCACCTATGTCTTGGATGGAGCCACCTTTTCTGGAAGCTCTCTGGAGCATTTAAACATAAACTCCACTCTGCTCTCAGTCCTCCCAGTCACATCGATTCCCATTGTTGATTTGTGTGGATATGATGATATTCAACATTCCTATTTCCAAAGTCAACTTTTTTTTAAATGCTTCAGAATGGTTGCCGTATAAGCAGCAATCTCCCTGTTTCTATTTTGACTGATTCTTGCTGGAACTTTAATTACAGTAAACCCAACAGGATTTGTTCTTTTGAATCACAGGAGAGGGTCAGCAAGAGGCTCAGAGTCCCATGAGCTTAGTGAAGGAGGAGACGAGAAGAAAAAGCGAGACTTTCGGAAAAGTGGCTTTCTCAACTTAATCAAACCCCGGACCAAACCTGAGCGGTCACCAACGGTCTTGATGACAGAAGAACTCTCCTCTCCAAAGGCAGGAGTCAGAAGTCCAGCTGTGGACACACCCAGGAAGGACACGAAGCCAGCCGAGCACAATGGCAGTGCTGATCGGGTAGAGGAGATCAAAACACCTGACTCCCTAGAAGAAAGTCAAGGGGAAGACGTGGGGAAGGTGGACCGGAGTGAGAGCAAGGGCAGCCCCCAAGGAGGGCGAAGGTACAGGGTCCAAATGATGGGCAGCGGGCTGCTGGCGGAGATGAAGGCCAAGCAGGAGATGAAAGCCAAGGCTGCTTGCTCACTGAAGGTAAGGGAGGGGGGTCTGTTTTGACTTGGTTGCCTTTGTCGTTTTTGTCTCCACTCGGTTTTTATGGGCAAGACAGGTACAGAAAAATAACCTGTGGGTTAAATAAAAATCCGAAAACATGACTTTTTCCTAAAGAACCCGGAACACAGACCAGAGGGCCTGGTCTTCCCATGTTTTCCCACTGGCATGAGGGTCACGCTCTCCAGGAGAGCCTCAGCCCAGGAAGGCCAGGCAGTGGCTGAAGGTCCACGGGCCTTGTCTCACCTGCTCAGGTGCTCCTGTGCGTGTCATAGAAACATGTGACAGCTATGCCAGGGACATGACCCACTCTGGGGAAAGACTATCTGTTGAATCCAAACGGAGACCTGAGGGTGACTGGAGATAGGAGAGCTGACAGAGGCAAATAAAATTATTGAAACCAGATTCTAGTTATATCAAGGGAGATCTGTTTTTCAGTTATTTCAGAATTTATGTCCTTTTCCAAACCTGAAAGTTCCTTGCTAAATTCCAGGTTTAAAAGTCAAAGTATTCTGTTAGAATTAATTGAATACTTGACCATTGAGATATGTTGTCTATTGCTATGAAGAAGCACTTTATCATTTAAAAATTGCTGAGTCCCCCCAAAGTCTGACTTAATGCATTACTTACTTTTGAACTTTTTAAAATATAAGTTGCGTATTTTTTTTTTCCTCCCTTTACCTCTATTTTTTCCTGCAGCTACTTGAGGATTGTATCCTTATTGTGATCACGAAGATTAATATGTTTAACCCAGGTTTTGGTTTCTGTGTACTATCCTGAGCTCTTTTATGTTTGTAAAACTGGGTTCTCCAATGAAGGGAAAATTGCACATCGATTTTTATTTGAATCAGAATAAGACAGTTCATCCCAGTGAACCCTTGATTTTCAGAAAGTAAATGGTTAACTGTTTACCAGGACATGCAGGGCTGTTTTATATTACTTCTAAACAACTGATTATTTTTTCATTAAATCCTGCACCCCGCATGATTTTACAGCTGTTCACCGTAGTTCTTCCACCAGCACCATCATTATCTAGCAATTTTCTAGTTACACATCCCTCCTCACTCACTCATTAGGCCGCAGAGAAGAGCTGAGGGGCTGAAACTACACTCTGTTAACATGGGAGGCGTGTTGTGGCCTCACTGGTCAGAATTCTGAACACTGTGACCACATCATTGGTGAGTCACACACCCAAGGAAATGTTTACATTTTAATCTGTTTCATAGACTTTCCTTACAACAAGGGATGTGCTGTTCTCACTAATGAGCGGTTTATTTTTATCACTGTTTCCATTGATGAATAGCAGCCTTCTGGTAGAAAGATGAGAAGTGTTGGAGGGTTTTTTTCCAGGTGCTTTGGATTCGATAAACTGGCTCCAAGTGACAAAATTCTTAAGGTTTAATTTGTTCAAGACTTATACTAATGATCTTTGAGCACCATCTAGTGTCTATTAAAACAAGAATAAAAATCCTTAGTATTTAAAATTGGAACCAGTTAAGGGTGTTCTGTCAGAACTATAAAATAATGAGAACGTGTTTTGAAAATGAGTTTTAGAATATTTTCCCCTAAAATTCCATGACTGTGTTCCCTATAAAGTTAGCAACATAAGCACCAGAAGTGAATATACTATGATAAATATATATATAAAAATATATATATATATTATATATATGTGTGTGAATGTATATATATAGCCTTCACTTTCGTCTGGAGTAATTCTCTTTACACTACTTACTTTTAACATGTATTTATTAAAAAATACATGTATTTTCACAGAAAGAACTGTGAAAATGAAAGTGGTGTTTATTATTTATTAACAAAGGAGAGTAACAGGTATTGAAAGCTTAGCGGCCACATCGTTTCTTCTGGGGCCACCTCGTCAGCTGCCTGCACTCAGAGACAACTGACATCAGGTTATTTCATCCTCATTCCGCACAGGCATTTTGGGGATTTATAACTACCTCAGAAAGCCTGGAAGGAAGAAGTGAAAACAACTCCTAGGATTAGATTTTAAATGTAGGCAAGTGAGGCGCCCAGGGTATAAAATTTAAGGAGGCCCTTACTCTCAGATGCCAGCCCTGCACTTGCATGAGCCTAAAAGGCAGTTTCTCCTTAAGCAAGGCGCTCAGGGCACAAATTTAACTTCTCTTCATTCCTGGCCCTGTTTAAATACTCCACTTTATCATTTTTATCTGAGCTTGGATACCCATGCCCCTGCCTTCTAAGAAGCTATAAAAGGCTAGGTCAGGCATTCTGCATCTGAGGACCGGTTTGGCCCAGCCTCTAGACGGCTTGGGGGTTGGGGGGGGAGTAAAGCGCCCCCTGCTGGTTTTGGCTGGCAGTTCATGGTTAGCCCCTGGCCCTGCGGACCTGCGTCCGGGCTCAGAGGGCTCCACGTGCTGCCCCTGGCACGGGGCTTCCCTTCCTTGGGGTCACTTTTCCATAATGATGTCAAATAACGTGCCGTTCTCGCTGTGGTACTTGTGTACACACTTCCTCTGAGACCTCAGTAACCACCACTAGTGAAAGTGGAACTTGCATAGGCTCGCTGAGAAATTCCTCGGCACTCCTGCCATGCTCCCTGCTCCCTCCTGACACAGCTGGCACTCCCGGCGGATGCGCGGCTGTGGCAGATTGTAACGAGGCAGATCTCAACTGTGTTTGAGATCATCTCTCCTGTATCATCGGAAACAATTTAAAGCTCGGAACTGGCAGCAGATACTTGCTTTTTAGGTTTGTCAGAAGCGTGAGTTGAGCAGGAACCAGCAGGCCGAAGCTCGAACTGTCTTAGGAATCTTCATGCCTCCTGGTCCACCCGCCCCGCTTTTTTTGTTTTTTAGACGGGAGGCAGGTGTGGGTCATCTCTGCCAGTAGGGTTCTCGGGTATCACTGAGCAAACGCTAGCCTTTTTGTTTTTTCATATCTTTTTTGTATCTAAATGCCTCACGCTCTTGCGGACTTCCTGCCCCATAAAGCAGAGGCTGATTCCTCCCTCGCCATCTCACCTTCCTTGTCTTTGCCATCATAAACTCCTCCCACCTGCAGATTTTAAAAACATTAATTCAGACCTATTTATACTTGCCTCCTAAACTATAGACGTGTGTCTAGTGCTTCTGCCTCAGTGGCAGGGAAGACCCTGCCCATTTCAGGCCCCTTCCTACCTATTTTGTACACTGAGGTTGGGAAGGTTTCCACTGCTTTTAGATCAGTGGAACCCAATCTGGAGAGGGTCCTGGAAACAATTAGAGTATCAGTGCCCCCATCACGTGGAGCATCAGGGGCTGCAGAGCCCGCCTAGGTGTTCAATCAGAAAAACAAGAGACGGCACCACGCCCACTGGCTCCCTCTGGCCCCGCCCCTCTGTCCATGGGGAGCATCCTGAGGGAACTGGCCACACCTTGGACCCCAGAGCCCTGATTGTAAACACAGAACAGAGCATGTCTCTCATGGTTTTGTCCCAGCAGCAGAGCCTCAGGGAGATGGGGAGGTCGGACACAGTCAGTGTAATGACAGTAGAGTTAAGGAGCCATTATTTGTTGCCAGTTATTATCTGCTTTGTTCTTACACTTTAAAAAACTATGCACTTTTGGGGCGGGGCACTTGAATTTTTTAGAAACTTGGAAATGATGCCGTCTCCCAGGATTCTTCCAGCCTGGCCTTGAGCAGCACAGAATGGTTGGATGGAGGTGGGGCAGGTAAGTCAGGCCATTGCCGTCACCCCCTTAAGAAAAACACGGTCTGATTCCATGCATCAAATGTGATTGACAGAAGGCAAATAAAGATGGAGAGCAAGGATGGGCCTCTGTGTTACATGTTCTCAGCTTTCACCTAAAAGACCACAGCCCTTCACCTGCCCGACACCTCCCACCATAGTAGCCTGGCACCTGGGCAGGGCACCTTTCCCTGTTTCCTAAAGGGAAGAGACTTCATTGAGAAGAACTCCTAAACTGTGGGCATTTGTACGTTATTCATGCTGGTTACTTCATTTCCTTGTTCTGTTCATCATGGCTGATGAATTAATTAATTAATTACGGAAGTATAATTGACCTACAACACTGTGTTAGTTCCAGGTGCACACCACCGTGATTTGATATTTCTATTACAAAATGATCACCATGATAAGTCAAGTACCATCTGTCACTGTACAAAGTTATACCAAAATCACTGACTGTATTCCCCATGCTGTACGTTTCATCCTTGTGACTCATTTATTTTGTCCCTGGAAGTTTGGACCTCTTAATCTCCCTCACCTAATTTCACTCATCCCTCTACCCATTTCTTCTCTAGAATCCACCTGCTTGTTTCCTCTATCTATGAATCTGTTTCTGTTTTACTGATGATTTAAAAATAGGCCATACATGGTATATGGGAGGAGGCCCTTTAACTGACATGAGGGGATGCTCTTTTCTTTCAGCTTGAATATTCCTGAATATCCGATTTTCTTTGACCCTCGGACTTTTCAGGTGCAGAAAGAGAGTAAGATACTTTAGATGCACACTGGCGAGTAACTTGTAAATTGTGCAGAAATTACCTCATTTTACTGTTTGAGGTTCTTGTGTTTGGCTTTAGCATCTTCATAAGGTAAGAGCTGGACTAAAACTCATATTCAACTGGCTTTTTTTTTTTGCCTCTTATCTGGATAATTATGGCAGCAAAAGCTATGGAGGCGGGGCATGAGCTGATGCTCTTGGAGTGGTTCTCACTAGACTTGAGGTTCTGGGCATCAGCACAGCGCTCCTCTCCCAGGACCTGCAGCCTGCTTGTGCTCCACAACGGAGGCACCTGCAGTTGGTTAGACCTGTACCTTGTGCCAGTTCTAAGGAAGATCTGATGGCTTCAAATGGATTGAGGCCTGCTCTCCCCGCTATACACTCGTATGGACATGTACCCTATTAAATATGAGGCTTGTCTTCTCTGGAATAGTCAAGGGTGATTGGAAGAGCACCACCAAATTCACCACTTTTCTAGCAAGAATTTTTGTCTTTCACCAGCATGTTCTGATTCTAAAAACATGCTAGAATAGCATGTTCCTGTTCTAAAATATCTTTGATGACAGATACAGAAAAGAAACTAGTGGTTACCAGTGGGGTGAGGGGTGGGAGGAGGGGCAAGATAGGGATTAAGAGGTATAGACTGCTAGGTACAAGATAAGATGCAGGGCTGTAATGTACAGCACAGGGAATATGGCCAATATTTTATAATACGCTATATGGAGTATAATCTATAAAAGTATTGAGTCACTATGTTGTACACATGAAACGAATATAATATTGTAAGTCAACTATACTTCAATTAAATAAAATATCTGATGAGAAATGACAAGAAACCATTATAGCAGTTTGCACCAGACTTCTACCTTCAAAGGACTGGTTTCTTTCACCTTTGAATTTTACAGTAAAGTGCTTTTTGTACTCATTTTCATTTTAAAAGTGCCTAAAGTGCATCCAGAGAACCGCTTCGGTTTGGGAACACCAGAAAAGAACACCAAAGCAGAGCTCAAGGTGGAGGCGGGCTCCAGGTCCCGGAGCTTTTCCAGCAGGCCCACCAGCCCGAAGCCCCTCCTGCAGTCCCCCAAACCCAGCCTGTCGGTGCGGCCCACCATCCCGCAGAAACCGAGAACCGCCTCGCGGCCTGGTAAGGGTTTTGCTGGTCAGGAAGTGACACCACGACCGGGCCTCCACAGCTGGTTTCCAGGGCGGCTGGTGAACCTGGAGGAGGCGTGTGTGTGGGAGGGGCCGTGAGAAACCTGCCAGAGTGATAAAGGCTGAAGAAGGGTGCCTTCATTCAGCGCTGAGGTCACCCACTCAGGGACTGTCCTTGCGCTCAGGGCTACAGCTCGGAGGCAGGATGGATAAAGCAGCCTCGTGGGGTGCTGACCCCTTGACAGGGCTTGGTGTAGCTTTCTGAAAGCTGTGTTCTGGTGCTCCGACCCTTCAGAAGGCCACAGTTTAAGGATGAGGGCTACAGATAGGGAACGCATAAGTTGCTGTGTTTTTAATCCCATAGCCTGTGAAATATTTAGGGTTTAGAACAGGGCTTGGCAAACTATGGGGCTGTTTTTGTAAAGAGCATGTCATGGGCACACAGCCCCACCGTCTGTGTATACCACAGCCCGGCCCACACACACACCAAACTGAGAATTACTTTGCTGGTGATAGAGCAGAGAAAGGAGTGCAATGCAGTTAATCCTTTCAATTAGACTGAAACAGGACAGCCTTTAGAATTAAGAGCCGAGAGTTCTAATCCTACCTATTTTGCCATCTTTTTAGCTTAGCAGGTCATTCAATCTCTCCAGTTGTACAGTGCTCACCACAGTCCTTTCTGGTTCTCAGAGTCCATGATTCTAAGTTATTCTTACTGATCTCAGTATGTGTATGTAGGTACGTGCACCTCCACTCCTGAAAGCGCAAATATATGTTATGTACATATGGTGGCCACTTTACTGGATTTGACAACAGGTAAAGGCAATGGGTTATAACTGTCACGTATTTTAAGAGAATCAAATAGCCTTTGTGTTTGAGGCAGAGGGAGTATTTAGTTCACTTACAGTCTAATTTTCAAATACCAGCTCACTGAAATTCTGAAATTGAAATGCTATCTGCAAGATATTCACATCTGCAGATTTTAACTCTTCATAAGTTTTCATTATTTTTCTCCCTATTGTCTGTTACTTCACTGAGCTGTGAAGCTAGTTTTTGTCCAGAAAAATTCTCTGCTGCTTTTTAAAAGATTATTAGTCATTTGTTTTTAAAGATTAACCCAGTTTATAGCTTTAGGAATCCAGTTTGTGAGACAGGTTGATTCATGTCTTTGTGTCTCCGTAGAGGACATCCCAGACTCTCCATCCAGCCCGGATTCCCCTAAAGTCGCTCTTCTTCCGCCTGTCCTGAAAAAGGTTCCTTCGGACAAGGAGAGAGATAGCCAGGGCAGCCCACAGCCCAGTCCCAGGACGTTTTCCCGGGAAGGTAAGACATTTTTTCTCTGAGTGAGCTCTCCGCAAGGAGAGTCATTTCAAGCGGAAGGAATTAATCTTTGACTCAACTTATATCCTAGAGTTTGTCGGTCAGCTCAGCGTCCCTTGGATTAAATTTTGGAACCAGTGCAGTACTTTGTTCAGAAACTTGATTCAACATTGTTGGTGACACTGGGTCTTAAAGGAGGACCATATACAGGGAATAAAAGCGTAACGGAGACACTCAGCCCAAAGTTCTTTGTAATAATAATCTCTAGATGCTCCTGAACTGACTCCCAGTGTATTAGAAGTACACACACATTGTTTTGTGACTCATTTGGTTGCTACCTGTAGGTTTCTAGGTCCCATCACTGCTCAGAAGAGCTCCCCCTGGTTGTCAATCACCTTGTCAGTCACCGTTGCTATGGTTCAGGAGCGGCTCACACAGGCCTGGGAGACCCTGTGGCTTGTTAGCTCGCTCAGTCGTGAGGTCAGATGAGCCTCATTCTCAGAAGTGTGTCATCTGCATGGATGCTCTCAGCGCATCATGGCACCAGTGTGTTCCTTCTAATTTGCTGAGGTGGGAGCAGAACAAGGTAGTCCTGGGACTTGAATCTCATCTCCCAGAATCAGATCAAATGTCGGTATCAGTGGAGGCAAGGTGTGTTCGGGGTGTCTTCCGCACCCCACCAGGTCTTTCCCCCACTCCTCCCATTCTGTTCAATGCACAGTTGCCTTTAGGGTTCTGTCCTTCATAAAGTGTAATGTAATTGCCATCTCTAAGCCCCACCTATAAAGAAATTCTAGAGCCATCGTCACCCATGTCCAGATAGCTCTCAGTGTGGTTTGGAGTTGCTTGGTTTTATTTTATTGTTTGATGCTTTAGAATTCTTTGACCGCTCTGACATCTTCCTCCCTTGGGCCATTTTCTTTTATTCATGATGGACTTGGGTTGAAGTTAATAGAAAGTGTTTGTGAGTACTGTCTTTGTTAATTGGGAGTCGAATGAAAAATAACACAGCCTGCTTTCTCATCTCCATTCTGCAGATTTACTTGGTGGGTACAAGCTTCACTCACCTATTGGCTATAAATTTAAAAAGGTGGGGTTTTTGACCAAAGCTGACAAACCACTTCTGTCAGAGAAACTAAAGCCATGAACAATGGCTGACACCTATAGTCATTTCACACGGGGTAATCAATAAATACAGGGCTTGGTATTACAGCCACGGTCTTTGGAAGTCTTGGTGTAGGAAGAGGAAACTTCGGTGGTGCCAGGTCAGAGAGACTGGAGCCAGCGAGTGTCCCTGATAGGACCACTCACACCACACAGCCCCACCCCTCATTTGCCCTTCTTTTTGCAACTGCTGACTTTGCATCTTTACTTATAAGGAAGCTTTGAAAATGCCTGAGAGAATTTTGTTGGAGAGAAATGGGGAGGCATGGAGGGGTGGTAGGGGTAAGTAGGAATGCTCACCTCATCAAAAAGCCATTGGAAATATGGAAGGATTAAAAAGAAAGGGGGAGAAGGTTGAACAAGAAATAATTGCTTAACATTTTTGAAAAATGATGTTTTCTAAGACGCCTGGCTATATGATCAGACAAGGCCTAGAGTCACCCACCAGCCTCATGAGTAACAGCACGTACCATGGAGCCTCTAGTTAACGAAGTGGGTGAAATACTGGATGCTGCTCGTGTGCCCGTTGCTGCTTTGAAAAATTCAGGTGTTCTTTCCCCAGGAACTTAGGAATAAATGAGTTGCTTCTCAAACAAACATTTCATAGCTTCAGGGATGGATGTTTGATTCCCTTCCTCACTCCCCCCAGCAGCAAATACTATGGATGGTTTGTGACCCCATCTTTCCAGCTAAAGACTGTAGAGCTGGGGAGACCGTTGCTTTCCCCTCTGGCATCCAGGATAAGTTAGTCACCGAGATCATTCTGATGGTGTCACTTGATACTGGAATTGGACTGAAAATCTAGGTGAGGTCTGAGCACGGTCTGTAAATGTCTGAGGTGGTAATATTTTGACTTCAGTTTATTTTTCAGCTTGTCCACTAAGCTGGCCCAGGAAGGAGAGCCCTTGTGAGCCCTCTCTTTTTCTTTAGAAAAATGTTCCTGCTGTGCTCATTCCTATTTTCTTGTACATTATTCATGCTGGTTACTTCATTTCCTTGTTCTGTGCCTCCCTTTGGACTAGCGTGCCCAACTCATTTCTGAAACAGGTAAATGGCTGTGATTCTTCTGGATTATTCCATAGTGAATGTGACTTTCGTTAATTCATCTCGGGATCGAAATGGTAATGCGGGGGCCTTTTTATTAGTATCTTTTGGGGGCAGACTCAGCGCTCACCTCATTTTGCACGACATTTCCATAATGTTGGCTGTTGAATTCTGTAGATAATGGTATATCTGTTCAGGACCAACACTGGAGGTTCCTTGAATCTTAAGTGGGGTGGGTAAGCTGATATTTAAGTTTTATATATTAATATTTTTTAATAATATTAATGTCAACATGATGTTATTTGCTACTACAAAGGGTAAAATGAATCCCTTTTCCTTAGTGCAAAGAGGAGATTATTACAAAAGGCATTCAGATCATGACAGTGGCAAGCCTTCCAGTAGAGGGAAAAGACCTTCAAAACTGTACTCCACCATTGCAGAAGAGGAAGTGAATGCAATTGGGCACAGGAGGTCACAGCCAACAAATGGTTAGAGTCTTCAATTATCATCCCTCACTGTCCCGAAGCTTATGAACTGGCACTAACAAAAACAAACTTTAATTGAGTAACTTCTATCCTGGGACTGGGTCAGGGATTATTCATAAACTGGTTTGTTTTTTTTTTTTTTCTAAATGGCAACAGGATGGTCCTTCCATTGGGGGCAAAAAGTATTGACTTAAAAAATCTAAATTTAGAAATTCTTATGAGGAGGATCAAGTTACTTTGGAGTATGGTGACTTGTCCTTTCAAATTTCTGTGATCGTGGAGGTTTATTTTTATATTCAGGGTCATGTCTCCTATTCTCTCCCTTTCTCTCTTTACTCTTCTCTTAGATTTCAACTGGGATGGGGTCAGAAATTCTTAAAGTAGCACAGTTTACCCTTTAGAGAATGTTGGTCTAACACCTTACCTTACACTCTTTTAGGGAAGGATGCACGTGATCTTTTAGCAGACATTTTATGACCCTTTAGTAAGAAAGGAAAAGTACCAATTAACTTTTCAGCCTCTAGGAACGATTTATACTCTTTTACAGCAGTTACTCGATAACTTCTCTCTGCCGTTTGACACTGTAGTAAATTCTGTAAAGTTATTTTCAGGTGAGGACAGTCCCAGGAGAGAAAAAGGAGACAGATTTTAAATCAGCTTTCGTCTCCAATGGGAAATGTTAGAACAAGCACTGCTGATTCAGAGAGGAAATGGCTTTTCTGCGACTAGTCATCATCTCCCTGGTTAATAACTTTTTATAAATATGACTTGAAAAGTCTTTTAAAGGAAATTTTAGTATCATAAAAGAAAAAGGATATAAAATTCTGGTATGTGAAATTTCCTTAAGGGACTTTTTCCCTTAGAAGAAGGCTTTTCTTTCTTTCTGTAAAACTTTATCAGAGGTTAACATATGAGTGTCTTGGCTCCAAGGATAAAGTGCCCACAGCCACGCAGTCTAGCCATAACCCCACATCCCTCAAGAGGGAAGGGCACTGGCAGTGACCTTATAATAGGGATAATTTCCCTTTACTTTAAAAGGCTAAACCATTCTCAAACTTTAGCACTTGATTACTGATGATAAACCTCTCCCACCTTAGAGCTTAGTTTAGTAGCCCAGTGAGTTATGATTTCTCAAGTAGGAACTACTGTCTTTGAGGACTTTCCTCGGCAGATTTAAACACAAAAACAACAAAGAAAACATCTACCAGCCCCCCACGAGCAACAGCATTTGGAATCAGCCTTCTTGGCCAGTACTGTTGGATGAGCCATGTACTCTGACTTGCCTGGTGGCCCGGCGCACCCTAGCCACATGACAGGGTGGAGTTAAGGACATGCCCACCACATAAAGCGAAGTCCGTAGTCTGTAGATACGCATGGACCATTCTGTCTGGGCCGAGTAGCACTTGCCCTAGAGGAAACCAACCAGCTTGGTCCTTCACTTTTAAAGTACTTCCTTTGTGGTAGGTGTGCTCATAGACACACGATTACAGTAACTCTTTTCCCTGCAAGAGATTTTCTAAGAAAATCTGTTGTCTTCAAGTCACAGAAAAATTACATAAATGAACACCTAAGACACTTATTTTCTGGAGAGAATTAATTCTTAGAGTATATGAAATCAGAAGCTCTGTCTCTATATAGTGCCTCTTTTGATAAGGACACCCAAGGTTACATAGATGTTTCTAGATTTTGGAAATTTACATTTGAACTGTTGCATCAGTTGACTCATATCACTTGTTAGTAACAAAGCACCCTTGATACAAAGTAATGTTCCTTCTTCAAGAGGCCACTAGAGCACTTTATACAACACACAGACGAGGAGCCCGCCTGCCACGTACCACATGGATCAGCCAGCGAGGCTCTGAGTTAAACTAAGATGAAGCCAGAGATAAGCCAAATCCTAGACAGGCAAGAAATTCTGTGTCTCTCTGATTTTTTCATGACCTCTTTGTGATGGGCTGCATCAAATTTTGATGGAATTAAATAGGACCATCTTGATTTGCTTTGCTGCCTTGATTTCTTGAACTATGGACAGGAAACCAAAAATGTAATTTTTACGGGAGCTTCAATTAAAGTAATTTTATGTATAATATCTTAATCCTGTTTTGTTAGTGCCGATTCCCAGCACTTGTCTTCACCCCTGAGAACTGCGTAGCAGTCTTTCTGAATAGTTTCCTGGTTAACAAATAGCATTCAGCAGAGCAATTCTGTTAAACCACGGTGTGTACTTTTCTTTAAGAACAGCTTTGTTTATGCTAAAATAGCTTTCTTATTTTCCTAAATCATGTATGCGTGAAACAGAGGCTATTGTTCTCAAAGCATGCTACCTATTTTTATCATGATTATTATGTTTTAATTGTGTGGCTATTTTAATATTGATGTGACAGGTAAAATGCTTACTTTCTTTTCCTGGAAGTACTTGTAACTGCATCAAGTGATATGCATTTCATATCATTTCCTCGCTACGTTTACTCATAAGCTGTGATGTTTTCATTAGAGTATGTCCTATTTTCTTGAAGAAAATAGTTGGTTTTGGCTTTGTATGCATTGTAATGTATTCTATTTGTACAGGCCATCTTATTGTGAGATTCCTTTTATATATATCACTTGCTTCTTCCATAATTCAACCTATAGCCAACAAATATTTGGCTGTGGCTTATTGTCTGTAAGCCAGTGCTCTGTTCCCCATTTTTCACCAGATCTGGGTTCTACTACCCCTACGTGAATTCTTCAAAAGAAATTTAATGGTTGGTTGGCACTTTGGGCCCTTGCCAGAAAGTATTAAAAAACCAGGGCCGACTACTGAGTATTATTTTAAGGTCATCATGTTTTCTCCTGGGAAATATGGAGGTCAGTGGAGCTTAAAATGAAGAAAAGCTCAAATTTTTATATGAATCTCTAATTCTGAATTTATATGCACATTTCAGAAGCTTTAAAATTACCATATATATGTATTTGCATACATATATACGCAAAATCAGAGCATCTTCAAGAATGACAGATTTCACATTTGAGCCTCTCTAGGCCAGTTATCGCCACTGTAGACAGGATATGAATATACATGGAGTGTCTGTGTTGAATACATTGCCTGTTTTTACTTACTCAAGTATCTTTTATAATTTTAATGGTACCTGGAACGGTAATAAATATGTGTATAGACACATATATAGAGATGCTCCAGCACTGTAATGCTTGACTTAATACAGTATAAAAGAAACTAGATTGTTTTACTGCACTTCTTTAATGTAAGAATTCACACATTAAAGCAGGCTGCCTAAGAGTCTAAATTCAGAAATACTGAACCTACTTCAATATAATTGTAATTAACATCCTAATCGCATGCAATCAAATAATGCTGCCTAAAGGCTGGAAAACAAGCTTGACAAAGAACACCCCCCACAAAGCTGTTTGCGCTGGTGATCTGGAGTAACACTGTGTGCTCTGGCTTCCAAACTCAAAGTTAGTTGTGCAACTAGTTCCTTGATCTCACCATGCCTCAGTTTTCCTATCCAAGAAAGGTGCCTACCTATGATACAGAGAAAATGTCAGCCTGGTACTAGACTCATTGTTATATTCACAATCGGCAGAGTTAAATCAATGACAGTGAACAGTTTTAGAATAAATTTTTAGGTAATGGCACCACCCTAGTGAACGGCTTTGACAGTCCCCCAGAAAGAGCATGTTATTATTCCTCTCAGTGACTATGTCGCACAAATTAAAATGTTTGCTTTCATGACTGGTACCAACTCAGAAACCAGCCTGTTAACTTGCCCCCCGCCCACCCCGCATCCCTGGAGGACTCAAATTACTAGTGTCACTTGGATGGAGGCTAAAGGACAATCTTACTTTTTGCAGGGAAGATTCCTGTGTTGGATTTCTCTCAGTTTCACTTAGCCCTGGTCCAGGGTTCTCGGTTTTTATCTGTGACAGAAACATATTTGATTGCGTGAATTTCTCCATTTTTAGAGAGTAGTCTGATGTCATATCATGTAACATCAATTAGACCTGGGATTTCGAGGAAGCCTAAAATATTGGGAAGGATGAAAAGTTTTAATCTAAGAATAAAAGCTAATATGTTTGCTCTGAAGACAAATGAGCAGTGCATCACCATACTTATTTCTTCCTTAGAGCTTGTAGTGTTGGAAATTTTTGAGTAATACTTATTTTAGTTTTAAAATGAATGAATAAAATTTCCTAGTTTTCACTAGTAATGCTCTACTATGAGGTTAGATTATTTATTGCACAGTATTTCAAGATGAAAATATTATAAATTTTCTCTATTAACTCCTGTTCATAATACACAAGTTGAGAACTTAAATACTTTGAGTCTTATTGAATACTATCAAATTGGCTTTGTGATAAAGGGCAAACTATTTATAGAAAATTATTTACTTTTCCAAAACCTGGCTTGTTAACAACTTTCAAAGGACCAAACAAACACATTTAATTTTTTTTACCCAATGCAAGCTAAGAAATAAAAATCAATACATATCATTTTTTCATTGCTTTTCCCCTCCATCTGAGAATTTGCTCAAAGCTGTTGGGTAACAAGAAGTCAAAAAATTTTTAAAAATTACTTACTTGTATGGTGAGATTTGAAAGTTTATCCTTTTCAGAATTGAGTAATTTCAATTTAATGTAATTAACGAAACTTAAATTTTTATTGTCTAGAGGTCAGAATCTGGCCCTGACAGCAGGAGTGGCAGGAGAAGTACTTTATTATGTTTGCATTTTGACTATTAGGTTTCATGAGCTTTCACTTCCTGAAACACCATTCTTTAGCAGAGTAAACATTTAATTAGCCAAGATGAGTTCTTTAGCATAATACTAACATCGAAATGATTAGAAGAATCAAATGAATCCTCTTGCTTTTCCAGGACTATGTTCCTGGTTGGATCATTTAAACTTCTGAGTAGTGAGGTAGCTGTACTCTTTCAAGCCACACAAAGTGCATGGGTTTGGTATTTTTAGCTTAAGTGGTGTCTCTACAATAGACTTGGTTAGTAATATTTAATAACCCTTAACAGTCATGCTGGAGTGTGGCATCTGAACCTTTCCCAAGGTATAGTAGCAGTGAAGCTATGATCTAGTTGGAAAGAACATGGGCTTTGGAGAAAGATTTGGGTTAAATCCCAATTCCAAGTTTTATGGAACCTACCCCGTAGCTGTGAACAACAGAGTGCCTGGCAGGACACATCACAAAGGCTCAGTCCGGTGATTGTTCTCTCATTGCTTTGTAGAGACACAGCAGATCCTTCATATTTATATGTGATCAAAACAGGCAACAAAAATGGCAGTTCTTTTACCTGGAGGCTGGTTCCTAGAGGATTGAATATAGGCAGTATTAATTCATCTCTACAAGACTATTCATTTCCTAGCGAGTGAAACTGAAGTTTTCTAAGACATAGAAAACCCTGACAAGGATTACTAGGGCCTCTGCTTATATCCCGTCCCTGAAGCAGGGATGGCCAACCCTAAATGGTCCACCTCAGGGCTCTGCTTCCTGTGCTGCATGAGGGGGCAGCTGTGACTGAGGAGCTCACCTGGGGCACAGTGGCTTCAGTGCTCCTCCTTCCTGGCCTCTCCCTTCGCTCCCATCCACACCCTCACCTCCTGGGGTCCTTGCCCTCAGATGGTCAACCACATCTATGAGAGGCTCACCCTCTCATAGACTGGGGTTTTTCTGTTTTGTTTTGTTGGTTTGTTTCTAATTTCTGTCTAGAGTCTTGAAATGTACTTGGCAAGTTGCTTTTGAGCAAGTTCATCCCAGACCCTCCCACTCTTCAGGGCCCCTGCATCTCACCCCATTACTGCTCAGGCCACTGGCATCTTCTTGTTCATCAACTATAATGACTTCCTTTCCTTTCTGTTTCAGTGTCCAGGAGAAGCTGGGGCCAGCAGGCCCAGGAGTGTCAAGAACAAAAGCAGTGGTCCTCCAGTAAAGATGGCCAGCAAGGCAGCAAATCCAGTGACTCTGGGGAAGAAGCAGAAAAAGAGTTTATTTTTGTGTAACGGTCACCCACGTAGAAGTCTTACCATGCGGGGTGCGTTTGCTGGCCATCAGAGAGGAGCCAAGGGCAACACCTCTTCCTACTTCCTAAGCATCTTCTCTTGGTGCTTTTTCCTTTGTCCTTCCCCACCCCACCCCCCCTCACCAAAACTGAAACAGATCCATCTCTCGGTAATCAAAGCACATGTCTGATCTTCTCCCAACCCTTAGCATTTGATTTCTATGCATTCCTTCATATGCCTTCAGTGAATGCCAGCAATTATCCCATGGGCCCTACTTGAATTTCTCTGAGGCAGCTACAGTTTGCCCTGTAAGATGAGTTTTGGGAGGTAAACTAAGTAACTGGACACAAACTCACAAGTAACACCATCCAGCTGACCCTGGGGTACTGCTGCACGTACCTGTGTCAAATCTGCACTTGACTTGATAGAGCAATTTATTCTTGATGTATGCAATTGCACACTGTAATTATATTAACAGAGCACACTAATAATTTGTATAAATTATATATATTAGATCTTGGGTATGGTTTTTGCATTCTCCCATGGGGAACTTCTTCCTTCCCGATGTGGAATTGTACATTTTAACTTGGTCTGGTGACCTTTGTGATACCATCAACAAGCAAGTTAAGAACCGAGTGAAAGGCCCGTGGCTGATTCTGTCATGTGCCCAGATTAATGTATATAGTTGACTGGAATGAGGTTTTATGAATAATCGTGTTTTTTGAAGGCCTTTAATTTCTGTCTGCATATTAGCTTTTAACGTGTGATTAAGAGAGAATACTTTGACACCTGTAAAAAAATCAAACTACTACTTTTTAAGACATTTCACAAATATTCACTTACATTACACGCTGAAGGTATTTTATGCATATGTATATTTATACCAATAAAATGATTTTACAAGTGGAATTGTGACTTTCTCCCGTGACTTTTTTAGTGAGGATTGGCTTGTGATGAACTTTGTTTTCCAAAAATCCACAATAACCACAGTTCCCAGATAATCAAAAACCTATTACATTCCAAATAAATGCAACTTGCTAATTCCATGGCCTCCTCTCACCTTTGGCCAAAGGATGAAATTCATCAAAAGGTTATATTATGAGTGTCCAAGAGAGCCCACTCAGGCCAAATGACAGGGCCAGATGACGGAGTGGGGGCCTGAGTCACTCAGAAAATACCAAGGCACTGTGAGATGAGCCGGACTACTGCTAGGAGGGGTCTGGGAATCTTCACCTAAGTTACAGACCATGGTTTTCCTACCGGTGCCGTGTGCAAGCCCTAAACTACGAATCAGCCTATCAGTAATTCACACCTCATCTCAGTTATACCAAACAGGGGCCGAAAAAGCCAGGAATCACTTTGTTTTGAGGACGCTTAGCTGTATGGCTACATTGGGCAGGCTGATCTTCCAAATGTATTTTTCCTTAGTTTAACATTGGTTGGTCTGGGTCTACTTTGCAGAGCCCATTGGCCAGCAATTGGGCAGGCATGTGTCAGGTGTTGGAAAGAAGTCAAACTGCAATTAAAAAATGGCCACTGAAAATCCAGGAAGAGGATAACCGACACCTGGTTATTTACGATGGGGAGCTCCACCTGTCTCCACCTGTGGTAGAAAAGATGTTCTCATGCGTTTGATCCTGCCCCATGCTGGCTTGTTTCCCCGTGTGATCCAGCTTCTGTTCAGGATCCACTTTAACACTCTCCATTTGCAAAATAGTATTCCCAGAGGAAATATTGCAAACTTGAAGGGAAAACAATGACTCATTTCTTTTTTGTGAAAGAAAATATATGAAAAAATTACAACAGAAAATCTAAGGAGGCAGGGCAGCCCTGATTTTTCAAAAATGTTGCCCCTGTCCTCAACCCCTAGTGTGCAAATCCTAAATTGAGATGGCCATGAAAAGATTTAGTATTTTTTTTTTTTTTTTTTTTTTATGTGGTACGTGGGCCTCTCACTGTTGTGGCCTCTCCCGTTGCAGAGCACAGGCTCCGAACGTGCAGGCTCAGCAGCCATGGCTCACGGGCCCAGCCGCTCCGCGGCATGTGGGATCTTCCCAGACAGGGGCACGAACCCGCGTCCCCTGCATCGGCAGGCGGACTCTCAACCACTGCGCCACCAGGGAAGCCCAAGATTTAGCATTTTTTACTTGCTAGATTAAAAGCACTGCCCAGGTGTGGCCCTGCTGTAGAAACCATTTGGAGTTCATTCTCTGCCTGTTCCTCTTTTTTCTTCAGAGCAAGAACATTAACCAACACCTTCTATAGATTGTTGAAGGAGCCCAGTGAGAGGTCTTGGTAGAAGGCTCTAGATTATTTGTCTGACCCTCATGTCCACTCTATAAGGCGCTAAGGAAATAGAGGTTTCAGACCCTCAAGGGTTGTCACTGCTGTGTTTGGAGTCCTGCTCTTCCTAAGATACGCAGTCAACTAGAAACCTGCATTCCCGACTCTCATTTAGCCCAGAACCCAACCCCTTAGCCAAACTGCTGAAGACCAGAACCGGGCCAGAACCCAACCCCTTAGCCTCCTTAACATCATACACAAAAATAAGCTCAAAGTGGATTAAAGACCTAAATGTAATGCTGGATATTATAAAACTCTCAGAGAGAAACATCGGCAGAACACTCTGTGACATAAATGGCAGCAAGATCTTTTTTGGTCCACTTCCTAGAGTAATGAAAATAAAAACAAACAAATTGGACCTATTGAAACTTACAAGCTTTTGCACAGCAAAGGAAACCATAAACAAAATGAAAAGACAACCCACAGAATGGGAAAAAATATTTGCAAATGAAGCAACTGTCAAGGGATTAATCTCCAAAATATACAAACAGCTCATGCAGCTGAATATCAAAAAACCAAACAACCCAGTCAAAAACTGGGCAGACCTAAACAGACATTTCTCCAAAGAAGACATATAGATTGCCAACAGGCACATGAAAAGATGCTCAATGTCACTAATTATTAGAGAAATGCAAATCAAAACTGCAATGAGGTATCACCTCGCACCAGTCAGAATGGCCATCATCAAAAAATCTACAAGCAATAAATGCTGGAGAGCGTGTGGAGAAAAGAGAAGCTTCCTACACTGTTGGTGGGAATGTAAATTGGTGTAGCCACTGTGGAGACCAGTATGGAGGTTCCTTAAAAAACTAAGAATAGAGCTACCATATGATCCAGCAATCCCATTCCTGGGCATATATCTGGAGAAAACCATAATTCAAAAAGATACATGCACCCCAGTGTTCACCACAGCGCTATTTACAATAGCCAAGACGTGGAAGCAACCTAAACGCACATTGACAGAGGAATGGATAAAGATGTGGTATGTATATACAGTGGAATATTACTCAGCCATAAAAAAGAGTAAATGAAATAATGCCATTTGCAGCAACATGGATGGACCTAGAGATCATCGTACTGAGTGAAGGAAGTCAGAGAAAGAGACAAATATCATATGATATGGCTTATATGTGGAATCTAAAAAAAGGGGTACAGATTAACTTATCTACAAAACAGCGTTACAGATGTAGAAAACAGACTTACGGTTACCAGGGGGTAAGGGAGAGGAAGGGATAAACTGGGAGACTGGGACTGACATATACACACTACTATATATAAAATAGATAACTAATAAGGACCTACTGTATAGCACAGGGAATTCTACTCAATACGCTGTAATGGCCTATATGGGAAAAGAATCTAAAAAAGAGTGGATATATGTATATGTATAACTGATTCACTTTGCTGTACACCTGAAACTAACACAACATTGTAAGTCAACTATAATAAAAATTAAAAAAATAAAAACTATATATAAAGTTTTTTTTAAATAAAATTTAAAAATCCATGCTTTGAAGCAGCCTGGCCCTCACCTCTCCTTCACAGTACAGGCCTGGGGCTGGGCAAACTGCTCAGCGAGCTGTTTTACTGGAGCCTCCCAGCCCCCTGCAACTATAGCTGCACACACACCCCATGTGACACAAAGCTGAACACAGGAGAAGCTTGATTCACTAACATGGGCCATCAGTTTCATCTGCTGGTAACATAATTAACGTATATTAAGATCTATGTGATGTTTGTCTCACATCTAGACATGGGAAAGCAATGAATTTGGCTTCTGTGGATCAGTCAGCACCTGCCCGGAGCCAGGGTCGTCTGCCTGGGGTTTGGAATGTTGATCACTGTTGGCCACCACCCCCCAAATTGCCAAGGTTCAAAATGTAGAACAAGGCACGTGAGACCCACACACTGCATCTCAAGATTTCTTAGTCTAAGGTCAGATTTTTACCTTGTTTCATAATCACACCTTGAATTTGTAGCTTCTTTGGTGAAGGAAAAATTTCTTATGAATTAGATGCTCTCCCCCGTTAGAGATTTCTCACACTAGGTATCCCTCCAAGGGTAATATCCATGCTGTCATTCAATGGTGGCAAATATAACAGAACTAGCGTGATACATCCATACTTTCTAATTTCAGCTTGCATTAGATTTAACTCAGAACGAGGCTGTCACACTATTTGCACCGTTTACACTGTGGGCCTGTTTCATGCATCCATACCCAACCCAGTACTTTGGGATTAGGCACAACGCTGCACCTCCTTGCCATACTGTGATCATGAAGTCTTTTTTGACAATAAAAGCATACATTTAACCTGTTTCTTAAGGTGTGAAGGAATTATCTCAAAGACAAATATTGTCAAGGTGGCAGACACTCCAAGCTGGTTTTCATGTGATCAGAGCAGCCTGGCTGGATGCAGAAAAACCACTGCTGGGAAGATGTGCTTTGACCTCCTAGACACTGAATCCCTGCAGAGAATTCAGAGGTGTGCTGTACACGGATTCTTCCGTAGAACAGGGTCCTTACCCATGGCAGTAATCATGGAGGAGGGAGCCCTGGAACCGGGCCTGCAGAGTGGGAGGTGTTGGTACAGGGGGCAGCTCATGTTAGGGATGTTCCTACATCCATCCAAGGGGTCAAGAGATCACCGTCTTCTCTCAGGTCCTCAGAGGGGAGAGTAAAGGCAGGCTGTTTCCAACTTATGAGATCAAAAGAGTTCAAGGGGACATCTGACCCTTTGGTGGCACATTCACCTTGTGGCCTGGCCAGTCCTGGAAGCCTGTTCTCTTAGTAATCAAATTATTTCGAGGCTGGCTCCTCATGGACCACCTTCTCACTTTGATCACACCACCAGGTAACCTTATTCCCTTCCAAGGCTACAGTTCGCATCTTGGTGATGACGTCCCCCTCATCTCTTGCTTCCCACTCTCTTCAGCATCAGTAGGATGATCCATGGGCATCAGAAATAATCGTGTCCACTCATTAAACTTAAAAGCTTTTGCACAGCAAAGGAAACCATAAACAAAATGAAAAGACAACTCTCAGAATGGGAAAAATATGTGCAAATGAAGCAACTGACAAGGGATTAATCTCCAAAATATACCAACAGCCCATGCAGCTCAATATCAAAGAAACAAACAACCCAATCAAAAAATGGGCAGAAGATCTAAATAGACACTTCTCCAAAGAAAACATGCAGATGGCCAACAGACACATGAAAAGATGCTCAACATCACAAATTATTAGAGAAACGCAAATCAAAACTATAGTGAGGTATCACCTCACACAGGTCAGAATGGCCATCATCAAAAAATGAACAAACAATAAACGCTGGAGAGGGTGTGGAGAAAAGGGAACCCTCCTACACTGTTGGTGGGAATGTAAGTTGGTGCAGCCACTATGGAGAACAGTATGGAGGTTCCTTAAAAAACTAAAAACAGAGCTACCTTATGATCCAGCAATCCCACTCCTGGGCATATATCTGAAGAAAACCATAATTCACAAAGATTACATGCACCCCAGTGTTCATTGCAGAACCATTTAGAATAGTCAAGACGTGGAAGCAACCTAAGTGTCCACTGACAGAGGAATGGATAAAGAAGAGATGGTACATATATACAGTGGAATATTACTCAGCCATAAAAAGGAACGAAATCGTGCCCTTTGCAGAGATGTGGATGGACCTAGAGATTGTCATAGAGTGAATGAAGTTAAGGCAGAAAGAGAAAAACAAATATCATATATCACTTATATGTGGAATCTAAACGATACAGATAAAGTTATCTGCAAAGCAGAAATACAGTCACAGATGTAGAGAATAAACTTATGCTTACCAAGGGGGAAGGGGGGGGGGGATGAACTGAGAGATCGGGATTGACATATATGCACTACTATGTATAAAATAGATAACTAATGAGAACCTACTGTAGAGCACAGGGAACTCTGCTCAATGCTCTGTGGTGACCTAAATGGGTAGGGAATTTTAACAAGAGTGGATATAGGTATACATATAACTGATTCACTGTGCTGTACACCTGAAATTAACACAACATTGTAAAGCAACTATACTCTAAAAAAGTTAATTAAAAAAAAAAGAAATAATCGTGTCCAATACCAGTGATTCATGAGTATAGAGTGACCATGAGGCATGCCCAGTAACGACAAAAATCAAACTTTGTGAGAACTGTAGAGATCTAGGACTCACAAGACCCAACTCTTGACGGAGATAAGGGGTCAGAAGCACCATGCCCTTACATTTCTAAAGAGCGGAAACTGATTTTTGCAAAAGGTTGCCGAGCTTGCTCTATCCCATCCCAGATACCTTGATGGCACCCTCATCGCCCAAGATTGCAAAGGAAAAGCATGGCTTTTTCCCCACTCCAGGCCAGAGGGCAGGGGGGACCATTTGCTAACAAAGATATGATTTGCTGGCCTGAACTGCTGGGCTCCTGGAGAGTGCCCCTGAGCTGAAGCCAGACTCAGTCCAAAGAGGAGACCAGCTTGTCCACCTGCCACTGATTTTCCAAACTCTAAACAAGGTCATTAACCTGCAGGCCAAGGGCTGGGTAGGATTCAAGGCATCTGTGAACTTGGATCGTGAAAATCACATCTTTATTTTCTTTAACCTCGTTTGCAATTTAGCATTTCCCTCAGTTTGAGGATATGCAACAAGCCACGGTTGTATCAGCAACACTTGGGATATTTTCCTACCAGTCTACAATCATTGCAGGCATTGCAAGACATCCTTCACACTCATCACAACTCAGAATTATGGTAGTTACGAGATATCCTGCTAGATCGTGTTATTTAATAAACTGATAAAGCACGTTCACCTCTAAAGCACATTCACCTCTAAAGCATTCACTTTTAAATCAAAATTTGTCTTAAAAATATTTTTAGTAACTGTACACATCAATGTAATTAGTTTCCACTGTAATACTCTGTTGGGCTGCACCCCGCAGGCCTGCAAGCCTTGCAGTTGCCCAGCTTCAAGACCTAAGTAAGACCCGGGAGACAACGACAGACACATAACGGCTCATTGGTCAGGGGAGCTTACAAATCTGAAGCCAGGTCCTGGAGCAACACCCCACCGTGTGAGGCAGCCAGCGAGCAGGACACAACAGCAGTCTTTCCTATAGCGCCGGTGGTGGTGGGGGGTGGTGGTGGGGGTGGGGGGGGTTCTAACATTTATAGGGGAAATTGACCAATGTTAGTTAGGCTCACCAGTTACCAGGGAAACCGGCAGCCGGGGCACCTCCCTCACAGCCCCTCACCAGGGCCGATGTTTCCTTTTAATAAACTAGCAGGTGAAGCCATTCTGGCCTAAGGGGCAGGGGGAAAGCACGTTCCTGTGAGTAGGGCGGAGGTGACTCAGGTGTCGGTGGAGCAGGGGATGTGCAGGGAGCAACAGCCATCTTGAGCGACCTGACCATACACTCCATCCCTAAACACCCTGCACGACCCTTACAGTCCTGGCCCATCCCTCTTCCTCGTTGTCCCTCTTCTGAGGGGTCAGGTATACAGAGGCGAACTGCAACCAGCTACCACAAATGCAATACAGACAACAGCAGCGAAAGAGAATCAGGAGGCCAAGAGGTGGGCAAACTTATGGAGTCAGGAGCTTATCGGGTCATGGAGGGGCCAGAGGAGGACCATGACGGCGTCTCCCTGTAGACCCAGCCATCAAACTCATTTCACAGTGAGGCCACTGTTGTCGCCCAGTCTGTGAACTGCTCGGACTAGGGTGAAATGTAAGGTGTTTAACAGGCACAATACAGGGAAGATGATGACCATTGAGCAAAATACAAGCAGTAACAGCATTGAGATACCACCACCCCTGCCCGTGGTTTCTGTCCTGGCCTGCAGGACCCCACGGCCTGTCTACCCTCAGTCCCCACAGCCAGTGCCGAATACTGGAGAGGCCATATAACAGACTGCAGGGTTAGTGTAATGGTGCCCTTCTCCAGTAGGGGGCGCGGATTAATTACGTTAGTCCTCTTAGGTGGGGCTGGGTAGGAGACAGGTGAAACCTCTTAAGTCTCTTTCTAATCCTTTTCTCCATGAGGCAGCAAACCCAAACCACACTTACCTGCCAGTCCCAGGGCCATGTTATGTGTTCCCCTGGGGGTAGAGCCTGTGGCGAGGGCAAAAGTGAGTTATCGTCCTGGCCAGCAGTTGGCAACGGTCCTTCAGTGGTCAACAGTTGAACCTGAACGGCGTTGACTAGCGGCCTCTGGGTTAACATGGCGTCAGCACTGCGCCGATCGCTCCTGGCATGTGTCCACACGTTGAAGGAGCGGGTTTCCCGTCTCAGCTGTTGTTGAAGCAGCTCATTCACCGCCCAGCAGCAGTGAGGTTGTGAGGCGGGGGGAGATGCCGGTGTGTGCCATTATTATCGGCCCATTCCTGAACTTCATGGCCGACAAAGTGGATCCCTTGGTCACTATTAATGTCCATGGGGGTCTTGTATGTCGCGCATACAGCTCTTCTAGGCCCCAAACGCTGTTTGTTTTTGCGTTACTAGACAACTCGGATAGGCCTTTTGTAATGTCTTCCACCTGTTGTGACAGAGACATCAATGGCTTACTGCACAGGGGATCTTACATGGTCTGAAGCCAGGTTCTGTAGCAGCACCCCACTGTGTGCAGCAACTTTCAAATATGCAATACGGTACTATTAACTACAGTCACCATGGCGTACATTATATTCCCATGACTTATTTTATAACTGGAAGTTTGTACCTTTTGACGCCTTTCACCATTTCATCCACCCCCAACACCCCATCTTCCGCCTCTGGGGAGCCGGGGGGGTGGGGGGGAACATGGGCAAGAGTCTATATGGTACAGGCATACCTCGAAGATTGCGTATTCGGCTCTAGAGCGCTGCAATAAAGCGAGAAAATGTCACAATAAAGCAAGCCACACGAATTTTTCGGTTTCCCAGTGCACATAAAAGTAACGTTTAAACTATACTGTGGTCTATTAAGTGTGCAATAGCATTATATCTAAAAAAATAAGGTACATACCATAATTAAAAAATACTCTGCTGCTAAAAAGTGCTAATCTAAAAATGTATCATCTGACAATGCAGAGATGCCATAAACCTTCAATCTGTAAAAAAAAAAACACAAAAAAACACAAAACCACGTGTGCAAAGTGCAATAAAATAAGGTGCTTATACAGGGAGATCAGCTCGGTGCTTTGTGACCGCCTGGAGGGGTGGGATAGGAGGGTGGGAGGGAGGGAGACGCAAGAGGGAAGAGATATGGGAACATATGTATAACTGATTCACTTTGTTATAAAGCAAAAACTAACACACCATTGTAAAGCAATTATACCCCAATAAAGATGTTAAAAAAATAATAATAAAAAAATAAAGTCATTGCTTTAAAAAAATATATAAGGTGCTTATAGTTTCTGTGGGAAGGAACAGGCAAGGCAGGGGAAGGAGGTTTAGGATTGGTTAGTTTGAATAATTTCAGTGGGTTCTGGAGTACGGTGGCCGTCCCAAGTTTGCTGGTACCTGGCCCTGGAGTGATTAGGGCAGGGGAATAGTGGCCCTGAGTGGGGAGGTAGGTGGTGAGTGTGCGGGTTCTGGATTGGTTAATTTGCAAATGAAAGGCACACAGATGCTGTTTACTATCTCTAGGAATTGGCCAGCCCTGGGAGGGGCAGTTTCTCCAGTGTCAGCAAGGCCCCAAGATGTCAATGCATCATATTTACAGAAAATAAAAAGGCATGATTAATACAGAGGCCCCCTAAGACTCCTGGCTGGAGGGGTGCACTCTGGGAGAAGGTCTGCTTCTGTAGCTTCCTATGAGAGCATGCTGATGGTCCCTTAGCAGACACCTGAGCAGGATGGTCGGGCCAGGCTTACAGAGACGAATGTTCGGGTGGAAATAGGCCTTTGGCGTATGTTCCCAGCACCCTGGCCTCTTCCCACCCTTCTCCATATTCCTCTTCCTCCTGCTGGGCTAGTGGGTGGGAAAGGGGCTCAGCGTGCCTGGATTCGTGGGTTCTGGGGACCTCAGAGGCCCAAGCAGAGGAGCAGAGGGTTGGAAATGAGTGCCCCTAGTGCCCTTGGGTCTGAGGGCAATCTTACGGTCCAGAAGGGGCTGGCCCAGAGAGGCCTTGGGGACTGAGCCTGTTCAAGTAGGAAAGCAATCAATTCAGTCTTGTTGCCAAAGGAGTGCCCATTCTGGGAGGACTGCTGTGCAGACAGCTTGTCCTGAACAAGCTTTGCCAGCCACTCCAACCACTGAACAGCTTCAAAAAAAAATTCTCTGTCATTAATGAGTTCAATTGAAAAAGGGAGGAGGAGATAAAAAAAAAAAGTCCTGGGAGCATGAACATGTTAATGAGATTGATTCTTTCTGGAAAGGGCAAGAGGAAGAAACTTCCACTCCACTAAATCCAATTTTATTAAATTGATTACTGTCCTGAAGTTAGCCCTCCAACCAATCCTGAAAGACAAAGAAAGCAAGACCCCCGAGGTGAGCGAGATGATGTCAGTAGAGCCAAGACTCTGGCACCTCCCAGTTACCAGCAATGATGCACAAGGAGCCACAGTGACCGTGACCGAAACACAAGCAAAGCAGCAAGAACACCATGTGCCATGTGGGTTTCTTGCAAATTTCATGCCGGCATCTTGCTTTTGAAATTCCAAGTGTTCAGGCTATGGGGAGCAGGGCTGAGTGACCACTAGCACATAGGCGGCCCCCTTGAGGGTACACAACAAGGCTGGGGCCAGTGTTACTAAGTACAAGATTCATCGTGGATTAAGAAGGAAGAATGAAATGTACCTTACTGTCTCACTCCCTTTCCCAGGGAGGCCCAGTTTGGATGAAGAACCATGCAAAACACCTGGAGACTGGAAGGACTGTCCATCCCCAATTACAGCATCAGATGGAGCATTTCCACAACCCAATCTGTCTCATTGATTCCCCAGGTCATTTGTTCCATGGAATTTGGCTTCATAGTATATTCTCTCCTCTCCTTCCCTGACTCCTGAGAACGTCTGCAATACGTGACCGGCTTCTTGCCACCAGTTACGGCTTCTCATCTTGTTAATTTGTTCAATATTTGTTGGGTGCTTATCACGCAATAGGAGATGGTCTGGGTGCTTGTCTGGTAGAACAGAGTTCCCATTTTTTGGCTCATGGAGCTTCGACCTCATGGAGCTAACAATCTAAAAGAGGGGACAGAAAATAAACAAGTAAGTTAATGAATGACATAATTTCTCATGGTAAGTGCCCTGTATGGCAGGGGAAAAGGCGGTGACGGGAGGAGGTATTTTCTTCCTACCCTACTGTTTTCTATTGATTTATGCTCCCCCATTGCGGTGGGGCCTGGGAGGCACCACGCGGATCTCCTTATTTTAGGAATAACAGATTTATCACTTCGGCTGTCTGCTCCTTGGGGGACCTTCCTCTACTGAAGACAGCCAACCTGCCCAAGGTCACACCCCTTCCCTGGTGGCTCATCCGGTGGCTGATGAAGGCCCAGCCCCTCACCCCAGCTCACAACAGCTGTGAAAAAGTGACCCCATCTTCAGAACCCTCCACAGGGCGGGCTGAGGCCTTCATTGAGACAGCGTCACAGCTCAGTTTCTCCCTCTGCCCCAACCTGGTGCCTTCCTTCCTTTGACCCCAAGAACACTTCTCCATAACCCTCCTACACACCGATCTCCAGCCCGGAGATGGCTTTCTAGTGAGCCCAATCAGTGACAGTTTTGAACAAAATGAACTTAAGGAACTTAAAGTAGTTGAGCTTATTTAACAGAACATATTTATAGCTCATAAATACTCATTGGGTTAGCCTCAGAGAGCCTCTAAAACCTCCTGGGACTGTAAACCCAGTCCCTGCAAACGGGGTTTTCCTCCCCTGCAGTCACTGTAGCATTCTATTCTTTTTCCCAGGAGGGCTGGGAGACTAGAGGAACCTGCTCTTCTCATTCAGCCTCTCGGAACTTCCTGGCCTGACGGATGATGCTCTTTGGGGGAGGGGCTGCCCCTGCAGCCCCTCTAGGAAAGCAAACTCATCTTCCAGTAGCAGAGGTTGCATAAATTAGGTTCTGGAAACATCCAGAAATTCTCTCTCAGCTTCTCCCTGGTGCCACTGCCATCTCTCTTTTCCACCTTGAAAAACTGGGCTGTGATCTCTTCGTTAACCGTTAACAAATATCTACGGAGTATCTGCTGTGTGCCAAACACTAGCCTATGAGTCTCCTCTCTCCTTGGAAACCACACCTGGTCCGTCATTACCAGAGCCGCCCAACCTGGAGCCGCCCCAGAGAGCTTAAGCCTCTTGGGAATCTTTCCAAGTTGCTGGGGTTGATTGAGGGGCATTAATCCCTTTAGCTTGAGTTTGCTGTTTCATTTCTTTCCATTTCATCTTTTTCTCCCCCTCTCTTATCCACAGTAACTTCCTCTTCCCACTGGCCTCCCTGCCTCTGTTTTCTTGTTACCCTCTATGCTCTATGCCAATATGATGGTCTTGGTACTCAAAAGCTTCTGGCATTTGTTAAATGTTTCCAAATGCACAGATATTCACAATTTGTAAGTGAAGAAACTGAGAAAGAAAACAGGGCCCTTCTGAAATTCCTCGAGAAAGATGGAAGAGATGATAATAAGAATTGTAAACATTGAATTTGGCAACATGCCAGGCATTTTACACACGTCACCCCTGATTTACCCCTCAGAGCAACCCTGTGAAGTAGATAGCATTACCGTCTCCATTTACAAATAAGGAATTCAAGGTTTAAAAAGGTTGAGTAACTTACCCAAGGTCACATAGTTTGTGATCCAGTGTATCGCCAAAATCGCTTACGCCTTAGCGCTAAGCTACCTCACCAAGGGGAAGAGCCCATCTCCTGATTTCCAGTCCAGAGCTCTGGGAGGCAGGAGATGAAGGCTTGTGAGTGATGGGAAAGTGCGTGGCTGCGTAAGCCCCAAGGTTTGCCCCACTATGCTGATGCGAATAGGGCATCCTGTCTTTTTCCAGAAAAAAAAGCCCCTCCTTGCCTGGCATTAACTAATAATGCTGGATCCTCCCTCCAGTATTCCGTCTGCAGCGAGACCACACTGCGGAGAGGTGGAGGGAGCAAGGTCCCACTCCAGAAAAGGGGTTATTTCATTACAATCAGGAGCCCCAGGAGCCCAGAGCAACCAATCTGGTAAAAGCACTGATTGTAGCTTTAATGCCAATTACCTGCAGGGAAGGGGCATTATTAGCGCCCAACTCCCTCCCCAGGAAAAGTCAAGGAAGTGGCTGGGCTATCTAAGGCATGCAGGCGGCAATCAGAGGAGCTAGCCTTCGATTTCTTCCCCACCTCCAGCCCCCAAGGCTCAGCCTCATCCCTTTTTGTGATCAAGTCCAGACAGCTTGGTGGTGGTGGTCGGGTCGGGGGGTCGGGGGGCGGGGAGGGCAGGGTGAGGTGTCAAAGCTGTTCAGCCTAGATTGTTTCATAAGTGGAGAAAGACCTGGAGAAAAGGCTGTGAATGTATATGGTCTCTTAAAAAAATTAAAAAGCACAGTGTAGGTAGTTTCTCCTCCTGACTTTTCAGACCCACAGCCATGAGTGAGCAGGAAAGAAAGCAGGAAGGGCAGCACCATGTTGGTAGAGCATCCCGGGCGCCATGGCTCCTGACTTTTCGTTGGCACAGGGACCACTGCTAGCTAGTCTGCAGGGTCTGGAAGAAGTGACTCGGCTTTTCTTCCACATATGGAAGGTGTCCAGAGTAAACTGGGCATCGAGACAGCTCCGTGTGCCTAACAGCCCTGCCACCTACTCTCGGCACAGTCCAGGTCCTGGGCTCTGGGAGCTGGGAATGCAGCGTGGCCAGTCCTTGTCTGATGGAACCACTGTGCTGGCTCTTCTTGCTGAGGAGGCGGCCGTCATGGCATGAGGTGAGTGTGGTGCAGAGTCCAGAACACAGAGGGTGTAAAGAAATGAGGGGCTATAGGGAGCAGGGACATAGGTAGAGCCTGGGGGCAGAGATGTGATATGCACTACGCTTGTCCTACAAGTGGGAAGGAGGGGTGAGTGGGAAAGCAACATTGGTGGTTTCCCCCAACCCCCAGCCATCCCACCTAACTGCTGGATCTAAATCCACAGAGGAGTTTCCTCACCTGAAAATTAGGGGTACTGATTATCTTCCCGTTAGGGTTACTATAAAAATTGAATAAGAATTTTTAAAAAAGTGAAGCAGTGCACAAAAAGGACCTGTGGATGTATACGGAAAAGTGTTCCTTTTTTACCACCACCATCTCCATTCCTGAGCCTCAGCTCATTCCATCCCAACACTGGCTTAAGGATGACATAGGATGGAGCAGGGCACAGCTATTTTATTAAAGTAGAACATCTAATGGTTTGTTTTTAGGTTACATCAGAAGGAGTGACACGTGACAACAACTCAATCAAAAACAAAAAACAAAAAAACCCCTGTATCCCTGCAACAGAGACTTCATTCCTTATGCTGTACAGGTGGAAGCTCTAACCAGGAAGGGGTCTGGGCCACTATCATGGGGATCCGGGCATTTTAGAATAGGAACTGCTTATTTTTCCTACGGAGTTTACTGTGGACCCAGGATGCCCCAGCATTTAGGAAATTTTCCTCATCCATAATCATACTGAAGTCTGGAAGTGAGACCTGCAAACTCGCTCTACCCCAATTCACAGATAACAAAGTTGAGCTACTCTGCTAGAAAGATCTGTCTTCCCAGCCCATAATCCCAGAAGGGCAAACCTAGACCGTCTTCCCTAAATGACTGAATCAGGAGTGAACATCTGACCCACAGGGAACCCATCAGGTTCTCTCTCTCCAAATAATTTGGAAAAGTAAAGAAGAATTAGTTCAGGGGTTGGCAAACTATTGCCCATCAGCCCAATCTGGCAACACCCACTAGTTTACATATTATCTATGACTGTCCATGCTTGCAACAGAGATCTATGGGTCCAGAAAGTCTAAAATATTTACTATCTGTCCTTCACAAAATTTTCCACTTCCTGAAAGAGAAGGTCACAGAGACATGGATGCTGTGACTGCCATTTGTGGGCCGGAGGGTCATATGCATTCAGAAGAGAAGCAGCTGTGCTCAGAGACTTGGGGTGGGGGGGGGAGAGGGGGGAGGAGGGGGAGAGATATTATGCAAGAGAGATTGCCAAGAGCAGACAAGAACTAAGCAACTCAGAGGAGAAAGGGCAGAAAGGGCCTGACGACCTTCCAATATCCATGAAACACATGGGTCTTGCTTGTGCGCCATCCCTGTGATAGTCTTATATATCCTACAATAAACCTCTTTTACCTAAGCTAGTTTCACTGTGGTTGTTTCTTTCAACAAAATGAATCCTGACTAAATCAGCCATAGGGGCTACTGTGTGACTATAGTAAGTATGGAGCAATTAAGGTCTCTGAAGCCATTGCTGACTCTCTTGATGAATCATTGGGACAAGCTTATAGTTAACCTAAGGTATGGGGGTATGCCGCTTGGAAACAGGAAGAGCATTCCTAAAGTCCAGATTTATGGATGGGTAAATAGTCTTGCAGGTGCCAGGAATACAACAGCAGAGGTCTTCATCATTAGGGACTAGCTGAGCATAGCGGCCACCTGGTCCTAATGATTATTAAACAATATCTATTAACTACAAAGCTCTTGATGATAGAGAAGTGATTTATCGCACAGAACAGTCCTGGGTAGTGTCAGCAAAAGGATGGAAGGAACTGTACAGGCCCTAGAGGGCATCAGTTATGCTAATAGCCATACATCATGTACTAGAAATAACCATATTATTTACAAGAAGTAATAAAATTGCAAAATTATGTACAGTCGGTAAATGGGAAGGTGATCCAATAGTAAAGACACTGATAAAAATAATTAGAATGATTAAAACCTTCCTTTCTCACCGAACCAAAGACATAAAAGAAAAATCTGACAACTCCAATTCTTAATAACATAAAAAAAAATCTGTGTGTCAAACATGTCCATGAGGAAAGGCAAAAAATAAATGGTAAACTGGGAAAAATGTTTGCCACTTATGTCACAGACACTGGCTACATCATTATTTATTTAACTGAAGAGTGTTACTGGTTTTCTCATCCTACAGAAGAAATCACTGTTAACTTTTAAAATTAATTGCTACCATTCTGAGGTGTGATTTTAAATCTGAAAAGGAACTGCAAACCACTGGCAGAGGCCAGGTTGTAAAAGAGAGATTTTGTTGTCATTGGGAATAGATCATCACAAGAACTTCAGACTAAGATAATGGACTGAGCTGATGTGGGAAGCCCTCCCTCTTATCCTAACACCTCACACCAAAAACCCAGGAGCCAGAAAGGGGTTGTCCTTTCCGTGTATGAGTATAAGAAAAATGCTTCCTCGTTGGGCTGTAAAAGACTGCCTCCACAAAACAGGGGGCTTGCATGGGACTCCCATCAAGGTGAGCTCACGGGAAAAACTTATAAAGCAACAAGGAAACTCACCAGCAGTGATAATAAGCCATCTGAGGGGGACTTAAAAATGAATGTCAAAAATATACACATATTGAGAAAGGAAGAGAATCCACAAGACAAACGCAGGAATTTATTTTTAAAGGAACAGGCATTTTTTCAAAGTCAGAAAGATTAAAGAGGATTAAAGGCGGGTGCAAATTTTTTTTACAATGCCTCCCTTTGAAATGCAAAGTCTGGGCGGGGCTCTCACCCTGTTTTGACAAATGGAATATGGCAATAATGATGCTACATAACTTATAAAGCTGGGCCTTAAAGGATCTGCAGCTGCTGTATTTGTCTCTTGGGACGCTCCATCTTTGAGCCCAGGTACCATGCTAGGAGAAGCCCAAGTGAGCCACGTGGAGGAGAACGGAGGGATATCTGTAGGCACTCCCAGCTGAGCTCCTGGCTGACAGTTCCAACTACCAGCCATGTGAGGGAGGCCATTCGTTGGACCTTTCAGGCCCAATCAGGGTGATGCCACCAGGAGCAGCAGTAAGCCTCTTTTGCTGGGCCCAAGGCCAAACAGCAGAATTATAAGCAATTAAATGATTGCTTCTCTAAGTTTTGGAGTGATTTGTTACCTGGCAATAGATAACTGAGAAAAACCACCATGGAGAAGTCGCAGTTTGGATGAAAAGATGGGACTTACCTCCATTGCCAAGTTTCTTTTGGGTCAGCTCTGAGGCAGATACCAGGCAGACCTTTGCTGGAAGAGAGTAAAAAGAATGTTACCCTGGAAGGGAGCCCTAGATAGAACACAGAGCATGACATACGCAGTGTTGAGTAGAGAAATGCCTGGCAGCAAGCAGCAGAGCTGAAAATGAGCTCTAAGTTATCCCATAAAGAAGAAGAGTTTCAATGACCACTGTCTCATTACAGAAAGGTTTATCATTTTATGTAATTAACTTGGATCTTGTGATTCATTATTGGAAACCTCACTTATATTACATGCTGTTTGTAGACAAAAAATAATCAATGATTAATATGCTACTAAGTTAAAAGAATTAATGTTTTTGCAGAGATTTCACCAATGAGTAAGTCATATATGCTACATCTGCTTCTACTGGTTACTCCTCCTTGAGACCCTAGCTCCTGGGCCACAAGCCTCAGGTCGTCTCTTTTGAGTTTGGTACCGATTACCTGCTGCTAGCCACTGTCCCAGACTGCCCTGCACAACCTTGCTCAGTGCCTGGCATTCACTGGGCAGGCAACAAACACTTAGAAAATTGAACCAGATTGACTTCTTGAATGAAGGTGGGTTCCTAGGGCCCTAAGGGCTTTCAATAGGCCAAATTTTCCTTATGGACAAGCTAGGAATAAATTGGCCATTTTAAAAAGCTCTATGAACCCAGACCACTCGTGAGAAAGGCTTAACATCACATCCTGATGCGTCCACCTTCTGTCTTTAGAGAACTGAGAAACAATGAAGACTAATGATAGGGCTTCCCTGGTGGTTGAGAGTCCGCCTGCCGATGCAGGGGACACGGGTTCGTGACCCGGTCCGGGAAGATCCCACATGCCGCGGAGCGGCTGGGCCCGTGAGCCATGGCCGCTGAGCCTGCGCAAAAAAAAAAAAGACTAATGATACAGAATAGAATTAATGTTGGCAAATGCTCCTTTTTTTAACATCTTTATTGGAGTATAATTGCTTTACAATGGTGTGTTAGTTTCTGCTTTATAACAAAGTGAATCAGCTATACATATACATATATCCCCATATCCCTTCCCTCTTGCTTCTCCCTCCCACTCTCCCTATCGCACCCCTCTAGGTGGTCACAAAGCACAGAGCTGATCTCCCTGTGCTATGCGGCTGCTTCTCACTAGCTATCTGTTTTACATTTGGTAGTGTATATATCTCAATGCCACTCTCTCACTTTGTCCCAGCTTACCCTTCCCCCTCCCCATGTCCTCAAGTCCATTCTCTACGTCTGCGTCTTTATTCCTGTCCTGCCCCGAGGTTCTTCAGGACCATTTTTTTTTTTTTTTTTTAGATTCCATATATATCTGTTAGCATACGGTATTTTTTTTCTTTCTGACTTACTTCACTCTGTATGACAGACTCTAGGTCCACCCACCTCACTACAAATAACTCAATTTCATTTCTTTTTATGGCTGAGTAATATTCCCCTGTATATATGTGCCACATCTTCTTTATCCATTCATCTGTCTATGGACACAGAGGTTGCTTCCATGTCCTGGCTATTGTAAACAGAGCTGCAATGAAAATTGTGGTACATGACTCTTTTTGAATTATGGTTTTCTCAGGGTATATACCCAGTAGTGGGATTGCTGGGTCGTATGGTAGTTCTATTTTTAGTTTTTAAAGGAACCTCCATACTGTTCTCCACAGTGGCTGTATCAATTTACATTCCCACCAGCAGTGTAAGAGGGTTCCCTTTTCTCCACACCCTC